CCCTAATCTTGGGAACTACCCACATTGTGATTGTGTTGACACAGCATGCCACAACAAGTCTCTCAGGCTGCTGCTGGATTACTTTGCCAGTGGGAAGCCCGGGATCGCCGATGGTTAATTCAATCAGATTAGCATCTTCTTGTGGTTATTACGATTCTGATTATTACTACTATAATTATTACAATTATCGCTACTGTTATTGCTACTACTATTGCTTATTATTGTTGTGAACAGGCAATGAGAAGCAGCGCGACGTAGCCTGGGGCTTGCTGACGATGGTCGGATGCAGCCTCAGTTGCGAAGACAACTCTGGGAAGCAGCTAAGTACGCTAACCACACCAAGAGTAAGTGCACAGGTTGGGTTGGCCGCCAACTCAAAAAGTCCCTGATGTGTGTTTCCCATAATTGGGGATTAGCTTCCTTCCTCAATTTTGAATTGATGCTAAGCTGTGGAGATTGGATGGCAATGCGCAGCTGGCAAGCCGAGGACCTCAGCTCGGCGTGGGCTGCGCTTCTTTCAGCCGCGTGGATGTCAAAGGTTTGTATGCAGATAACCGGCACCCCCAAACCAGCATGGCAGGTTTAAGTCTGGGGACCAGACAGCTCCAATGTTGCGGCGGCGCGCGCGGCCAGTTAAAGTTCCGCTTTCGTCACCGTTTCTGGAAATCAAGCGCTCACTGCAGTCCCAATACGCGCGCTGTCGCACTGGCATGTCCTGGATGTTGCAATGATCCTCCTAACTGTTATGACTTTGACCCTCGAGCTGTGGTCCACTTATTGAGGTCTACTCCGGTAACATCAACATAATGAGCTCGTTTGTTGAACCGGATCAACATGGCCATAGGTTCGGATTCCAGGCATGCGAATCTGGGTGCTCCTTCTTTGTTCTCTCTTTGCTTGAAGTCCCAGCCCAACCCACTTTGGATTAGCTTGTCGACTGGTCTCCAAGCCAGACCTCTTGCCCTAGACCATAAGCTCCGAAAGCGCCAGAGCCTACTGCACCGTGAGCCCTACGCCCTGAACCCTGAAGCCGAGGCATCTTCTTCGCAGAAGGCCTTGGCTGGAGGTGGATAGTGCTTCTGACAGGCAGCTCTTCTGCACAGAGAAACGGCGACTGAATGACAGAATCTCTGAAGTACACAGGCTCCAGCATTTACTGTCAATATCAAATAATATCTATGGGGCTTTTGAAAGGGTCCTGCAAATGTCAGTCCAATATACATCATCTTTTGTAGCGAAGACATTTCTAGACCTTGCTTGCCGCTCCCTCTTGACCACTGGCACACCTTAGCTTGCTGCTCACACTTGGTAGAGCCGCACCCATTTTTGCTCATGCTCTTGACTGTCGTGATGCTGGCTGGCATCATAGCTATCTACGATATGTGCTGCTTGCCAGTCGCTAACAGCTGCCAGTGTGCCTCACTTTATGCGGCTACCATCATTAGCTTTATGATTATGAGCACCGAGGGAGCATCAGCGCTCGTAAAGATTTCTGTCATTTTCCATATCGCCACGCCTTCCCTGGACTCCGGTAGCCGCTACCAGAGCCAAGGTGGCCTCGGGGTTGTTCTGTCTGGTGTGGTGCTTGCCACGGTCAAGGATGGGTGAATACTCACGATGCCATGGGGACTGGATCAAACTTTATGAGTCCAGTTGTCCCAGCTTGTTCGGCTTCCGCGTCAGTTGCACAGTTGCACCATTCTTTTCCTGCTTTGGTGTAGAGAGTGCATGCAGATGGCCCTGCTGTGACTAGCTGTCACGTCTGCGAAGCACCTTCCTAGGAGCCAGCCCGGACAGAATGGTCGGCCCCTTGCACCATGACGGTGGTCACCGAGGAGGCGACACAGTAAACTCAGTTGTTCTTGAGCATCCCTAAGCTATGGTCAACTCAGCGAACAGAGCTTGCAATGGAAGATGCGAGTAATCTCGTGAGCACCTCGAGACGAACCTGTACACGCCGCAATAGTGCAAGCCCTGCCTGGCCAGTTGTGGGCTGCCTTTGAGAAGTCTCGGGTGCCCCAGCTATTGATTTTGGCCGTGTCCCAGGCTCAGGCAAGTGCATGCAGGGCAATGGAATTCTGCCCAGGCTTTCGCACCACCAGCTCTCAACCTGATCCTTCAGAAATTCTGCTTCTGAAATCCTTAAGATCTCTGCCGAGGTCAGCCAAGATGCTGGCATCTTTCAGCCTGACTTCCTTCCTGCCGATCTGGTTCGCCCGAACGGGCCTCCACGGCTGCCTGCCTCAAAATGATCGGAGTTCAATCTGCAGCTGCAGCTGTTTCCTTGCTCCTTCGCCTGCTATACCACTGGGACGGACGACCTCAGGGCAGAAAAGACAACATGACCAGAAACGATGATGTCTATGTTTACTGTAGGTGCCAGCTAAAAACCCATCCGCACTGCAACCCGAAGCAAGTTGGAAACAGGGCTGGGGTCCAAAGCAAGCCTTCTTTGAAGCCACGGGGCAAGGTTACACAAATGATGCCTATGCGTTCTGGAGCCTTGGCGTGAAATGTCAGAACCTGGGGTCAGCTGAGTGACACCCCTTGCGACTTTTCACTTCCCTCTTTGATGCTGAGATGCTACTTGATGTTCTTTTAAAGCTGTGGCTAGTGCTGTACAAAGGAACGCCTTGGCAGTCTCGCTTGCTGGGCTCCTTTCCGTCTCACTGGGCAGCGTTCTAGGCCCGGATGAAAGCACCTGGGGTCCTGCAAGGCCTGAGCAGCAGTTTGCCTGCGAGGACAGACCTGGAGTCGTGTTGATGTCTGTGCCCCGTGCTACGTGGGCATGTTGGGCGCTTTGATTTCTCTGCCGCTGCTGGCGATCATGCTCCTCACCCAGCCTCTCAGCTTTGGTTCAGAGGAAAGAAAAGAAAGAGGCGCAAGTACCAAAGTGAGAGGTGTCGGGTTTTCCGTATTTCCATGTTAGGCATGTCTGAGAGCATTGAGCTGCAACCTCTGCCTGATGATTGGGTTACCTCTCTCTCCGTCCCTGTCCTGTCCTTCACTCTGACCCTGTTGGACGACACCCAAGCCCAAGCCCAGGTGGTTCCGAACAGCCCTGCTTTGCCGCTCGCATGCATTTGGGAAGTGGAGATGCCTAGGGCATTAGGGCATAGGCAGCAGCTTATTGGGACTGATTTTGTCCAGGCTACTTCACCATGCTGGTGGTGGGCGAGGCTTGGTTCGGCCCGACCATGACCCTCCTGCAGAAGGCTGTGCGAAAGTCGGTTGCAGGCCAGGGCTTGTCCAACTGGTCTTGAAGGCAAGCTTGAAGCAGGCAAACGTAGCCTTGGGAATCCTTGGGATGAGGCCAAGCAACGTCCATGATGCTGGGCATCGCAACCCTGGCCGGAAATTTGGGCCCTGCCATCATCGGCATCCTTGATCCAGGAGACAATCACAGAAACCTTGGCCTGATATGGTAGAGCTGAACCGTGTTGGCTTTGACCCCGCAGGAGGCGTCAACATCGGCGTGCATCTGCTTTGGATCTGCTCTACTGCGCAAGTGCTCGCCGCTCTAAGCCACCCAGCTGTGGAGTTGTTCTTGCACCCTATTGAAGCCTGAAGCAACCTAGTACTGCAGCGGGCCTTGGCGAAACTCCAGAATCCCTGAGAGTGGTTTGCAAGCATTCTTGGTTTGATCTTGCCAGTACGACATTGACATGAGCTCTCTGCTCCGCTGCTCTTCAGCCAGCATGTTATGAATACGCTGAGGTTTCTACTGGACATACCGGGAAATTACCGTCGACCCTGTCTCGGTTACCCTGGGCTTGTCGCAGGACGTGGGTGTGCGAGCAGCATGCCTTTCTTGGACAATCAGGAGGCTAGATCCCAACTCCCAACACATTCCAGTTTGGGAAACATGTCTTAAAGTGCAGCCCGATTCCTTGATCTATCTTGGTTTTATGTGATGTTTCCGGACGTCGTGAGCGATCGGTTCCTAACTGATGGGTGTCCCCACTTGATTCAACCTGGTTTTTGTTTTTGTGTTTGACGAAGGACAAGCCGTAGCGTCAGCAAGATGAAGCAAACAGGCGGCTCTTTGCAACTCCAGCACACGGGTAAATTCGGGATAAATGGGGTACTAGTCACTAGCAGGCAGGTGTGGCATTTTCAAGCTGCTGCCGAGGCGAACTGCGGGTACGTAGCAACTTTCAGTGTGTCTCGATCTGGGAAGCCATTGGGATGAGTTGGGGTACTGGGTGTTTTCGTCTCATTTTGCTATATGTGTCGTACGCGCATGCACACATTCGTGCACTATGCCAAGGTGAGACGAGACGAGATGGCCAACTTATTCGGCAAGATGATCTGAAGTCCGTAGGGCGCGATGCGATCGTGGACAAGAAGTGAATCCAAGCATGTTTTCTTGGAAGCACTCCTCAGAGTTCGATAGGGTGCGAGAGGCTGTGTAAGTCACAATCTCTCATAGCCAGAACCAATCTGCGATACTCCTTGTAGTGCTGCGAACATGAAGACTGCCATCGCGCCCAGATTGGAAAGGCATACTGCACTGCATGTTGTATTTTGGCGTGGCACGGCGTAGATGTAACAGCTTGTAAATCCTAGCAGGCTTTTTTTTTGCTGAGTCATTGTGTCCAACTACTTGAGTCCAAGGTCTGGCTAAAGCTGGAGTGGATGACCTCCTTCCAGACCATGGAGTAACTCGGTGACAGGATAAGGCTGAAGTCGTTTGTGGAGGAATGTTGGATCTTGAGTTTGAGTGTGTAGATGTATGGGGGTCAGGAGCAAGATTCCCCATCGACATTCCAAGCTTTGTTTCAGATGGTTCTGAATCATGTCAGACCCTTACCTTTCGACTTGCAGGTCTGGACATCCCTTCAGCAAGCCATACCTTCAAAGACTTAAGATGTCCTCGGACCAGATGATCCTGACATAGAAGTACCAGAGCCTGAGCGTTCATGTGCTTCGTAAGTCACTGGGAGAAGAATCAGCCTCGCAGGATTTTTGCCAAAACCTGCGGGGTTTAGTGTATTAGTTTAACCAAAGCCAATTGCTTTGGCGCAGGATTCATTGTGTGCAAACCTCCTGACTGAACTATGAGAGACCTCGTGCTCCGCCACAAGCAGTCCTGCTTGTCAGGTACTGGTACAACCCAGACACTGGTGAGAGTGTCTGGACTCTACCGCCAGTACGTGACTCAGCATTTTTCTGCCGAGAGCCGTAGCGAAGAGACCAGCGATTGTTCTGCTCGCCGCCGAAGGACACTGATGTGACATCCGACCTTGACAGCATGGGGGAAAGCATCGAGAGCCTGTTGGGCAATGCGAAGGCAGACACCTGATTTTTCAAAAACAGATGGTTTGTGGGTAAAGGTTTCACATCATTTTTGCCGACAGGCCCTGGCAGAGCTCATTGCGCAGGACCAGGAGAAACGCCAGCAGGAGCCAGTGACACAATTCTGCCGCTCTCCTGCTTCTCGGGGTGACTGACTCTTCCAGCGTTGTGGGTTTCGGGCTTGAGGTTTAGCAAGCCTGCGGGAGCTACATTTAACAGCTACACTCCCTGTTTTTGGGTCCAACTTGCTTGCTTTGCGAGACATTCGGCGTTCCAGGAGCTAGACGTGCGAGCTGCTCAGACTTTCGATGCCGGGCGTTCGCCGTGGCGCTCAGATTGTTTGAACGCAGTCGGCCTGCGGGTGAAGGGCACATGTGGAACTGCACACGCGTTCTAATATGGTACTACAAGCAAAATTCACGCGTCCCAAGGACTGTCTCCATCGCAGGCAGTGAGGCCGTTGAGACTTTTTGTTGGCAATGAAGTAGAAATCATAGCAACAAAGCTGCAAGAGTGTCCGCATAGTCTTTGGCCCCAGCCTTGTGTAGGAATGTGTAGGTCGTCCTATGCTAGCCTGCGTAGCTTGATTGTGTATGAAGACAATCATACTCACGGTGCGCCACAGTGTGTTGCATGGGCCCAAGAAGCCGCAGTCGTCTGCCAGACAGTTGAATGGATGTGAATAGTACCAGTGTGTCCAGGCTGTAGGGGAAACAGCTCTTCCGAGCAGTCTGCATGGGCCTTCCTGTTAGCCATTTTCCATGTTCCCGCCCGTTATTAGAAACAATATCCCTAAACCCTAGAAGCCCCAGATACACTAGTGGCTTTTAAATTCTTTTCCATCATTCCCCATATTTAGTCGGGTAATGATGATTTAGGCCCCTTCTATTCATGGACAACCTTTATCGCCTGCATCAGGCTGGGTCAGATGGCACGAGATCCCTGCTGCGAGGCAGGCAGAAGTTTCACAGAACACTTCTTCATTCGCTGAGTAGTTCACATGCAAGTGCGCACATCAGCTGTTGCTTTCTCTACCTACTTGAATCTACTCATCTATCTGCCTCTCACTCTGTCTCCTTCCTCTCGCTCTCTCTCTCTCTNNCTCTCTCGCTCTCTCTCTCGCTCTCCCTCGCTCCCTCCCTCTCTTTGTCGTTGTCGGTTGGCATCATGCAGCAAAGGCCCTTCAAATCATGCCTGCTTGACTCCATTGCATGCTCAGGCAGCAATGCTGAAGCTGCTCCAGACAGCTTCTTTGGCAGCAGCGCCCGAGCCGCAGTGACACAGACTTTCTCAGAGGTGGCTGACATTCGGCTTCTTGATCGAGACTTTTTTTGAACAAGTCACTGGCCCGCGACCGTGGCTGCGCCGAGGTCGTAGCGCCGGTGACATTCCAACCTGTCGTCGAAGAAGAGGCTGCGTGCCTCGTCCGGGGTGATGCTGCCAAGAATCTTTTCTGCTGGCTTCTCTACGCTTGCAGGAGCAGTATGTATCCTGTTTGCTGAGGCAAGCAATGCCAGTTTTAATTGTACGAGCACGGACACGCAAACACACAAGCAAAGCTGACGGGGAGCTTGCAACTGGCACTTGCTTTGCTTCAGCGCACAGGCCGGACGGCCAAGTACCGAACCGCTTTCGTCAAGCAGGCTGCAGACTTGATTTGACATAATGTTGTGCTAGTAAACGACGTATCGTTTTCAAGATGTTCCGGAAGCCTGGACAAGCACTGCGAAGGTCGCCACCTGGGCATCTGCCATGGGTAACCTTCCGGCAAGGCAACAGTTCCCTGCTCACCGCAGCTGTTTCCGGAGATCCTTGTGATGTATGTCGATTAGTCTCGGTATTCAGCTATAGCCATCTTAAGGACGTGCTAGGCCCTTGCAGATGACAGCTGGCAGGCACCAAAGCGCTGTTGGGCGTTTGGGCTGTCGGCGTTTTTTGGTTCCTTCCTCGGGGTGCACAATGCTTCAAAGCATCGTCCTGCACGAGTAGTGACTGTGGCGATGGCAAGCAGCGCTTGCCTGGCGTCACACGGCTTTGCACTGAAGCAATTTCAAGCAAGTGAGGGGTCTGCTGAGAGGTCGATCTTCCACATCTTCTTTAAAATCGACATGGTAATTCCTGTCACGTTGCGCGCTCGGAGTTTCCCAGCTCATTGAATCATTTCGAGGCAGAAGGTTGCTTGAGATGGTTGCAGAAAACAGGCCAGAGCCAGACTCGGCCCTGACAAACCTGATGACGCGCTGGGTGCGGCGCCTGAGGGGCAACATTCATGATAGCAGCTGGGATTTTGGGTCAGGAAGTGGCTGTCAAGCCTGCTTCAAGCCTTTCGACAGAAGCCCGAATGCAAGCTCCCGCCAGGTAGTTCCCAGCCGCATGGAGGTTGAACTGCTACACAAGACTTGGCCGCACGCGCTTTTCAAGCCTCAGGACCCGACTCCTGCTAATCATTGCTCGTGCCTAGCTGCTTTCGGGCCGCAGTGGTGGACAGCTTGATGCGACGCAGGCGATCACCTGCAACCAAGCCGATGAATCTGGAAATGTGAGGTGCCAGCTAAGATGACCTGCTGTGCAGGTGACAGCTCAGCAAAGGTCACAAGTCATTGTTTGGGGTCGCTGAGGCACGTTTTTTCTCATGACTGGTGCAGGTTGTTGGTGGCAGAAAGGCATGCCGTTCACAGTCTCACGATACAAGGAGGACGCTTCATGATGCCTGAAGGTTTGAGGCCCATCCAGAGATTCATTCCTGTTCTCTGTCTAGGACAGCGTGCGCTGTCTACCTCAGAAGTAAGCTGCTCAGATTGGATCGACCACTGCTATTTTCTCTTGGGCAGACCGCGGCCGGTGCTTCAGTCTCTTTGTATTGCAATGTTTCGCAGCATTTAACTGGACAAATGGAGTCACTTCGGGCCTGCATACCACCTCCGCCTGACCCCAACTTCAGAGTGAGTTGTGCCATGTTGTGTCGTTGAGCGCCTGCCAGCCTTCCTGGCATCCAGCTGTGGGGCAGTGCCTGCGGCAGGCGGGTGCCTCAGGCGGACAGCAAGGGGCGGTGGGACCAGTAAGGCAGAATCTACAGAAACCGCAAGGCGTCAGAGAGCAGAAATGTTCCCCGAGGCCCGTGAGTTTGTGGCAGAAGGCATCCGTGGCCTGACGCAGCGCTGCCGTGGTCACGAATGTTTTCTAGTGCCCCCAAATCAAGCCCCTGCACGTTGGATCGGCGAAGAAATTCGAAGGCAACAATGGTCAAGATTCCATCAAAATCAGCTGGTGCTCAGTCCGGGACGCATTCAGTACCTGCAGCTATCTGCAGCTGTTCAGGTACTTCTTGGGCTGAAGGGCCAGTCGCTACTCAGCTGTCCACTAGGCCCAGGCGGAGGCCCGGATGGCTGTTCAGCTCGGTCTGCAGCTGGCACCCAGATTGAACCCAACTTTGATGGCGAGCTACCAGCGTTGCAGGCTCTGCACGCGGAACGCTCTCAGAGCTCTTTGGAGGCCGCTGCCAGTCATGTGTTCTGCAAGCGCAAGTTGTCACGAAGATGTATCAAGGCGCCTCTTGCATTTGGTCTGTAGCTTTAGGGTCCCCAAGCTGATCCAAATCCCCTAGCCTAGAGCAATCTGAAGCAGATACCGCAGCCTTGCATGGACTCTTCAAAAAGCTCTGCCCAGCTCATTTGCAGTTTGCATCTTGGACTCTTACGACGGAGAGGTAGCTCCAGATGCCTCGTTGGGGCCGCAGACACATACAGTATGAGGAGCGCGCGGACCCTGAGACTGTTCCTGGCGCATGTACAACAGCTTCCCGGGTCCCTCAGCGGCTCCTTCCTCCGCCGAAGCTGCGAAGCCATCCCCCACTGGTCAACCTTGACGGGTCGCCAGGCATGAGCTGCAGAGGTTGTAGAGGTCAATCGGAGATAGAGATTGCAAGCGGCACAGCGTCCGCTGCGAAGCCAACCAGCGGGATCAGCTGGCCAAAAGTGGTGGGAGGAGAGCTTACAGACGACTTGGCTGCGTTTTCTCCTGCCGAGGTGTCTCAGCTAGTTGAGTTCCTGGAAGCCAAGTTGGGGACCCACTCTGCGCGCAAAGCTTACCGCGACCAACACGCACGGAGGCAGCCTATTGCTTGCGGGGTGCAGATAATCAGTGGGCACAGCTGCAGCTACGCCTGCCGCTACTGCTATATCCAAGACTGGTACCCGTTCATAGAACCTACACCGACCGAGCTGTCGGGGCACGAAGTCCTTCTGTCCCTTCTGTATAACCCTAACTGGATCCCCTCGCGGGATTTCATAATCCTGGGGGATGTTTGCGACCCTTTTCACCCCAATTTGGAGGTGCGAACCATGGAGTACGTTCGGGCAGCAGTTCCGCTGGGCAGCCCTATTCAATTTTCTACCAAGTCTGGCATCAGTAGACCTACCTGCGAGCAGTTGGGGCAGTGGTCTCGGACATTCCAGTGTCCAATAAACGCATTGGTGACCATCACCACCCTCAAGCATGTGGAGGACATGGAGCCCAGCGCGCCTTCCGTTGAAACGCGACTGGACACTGTTCGCGCGCTTTCGGCTGCAGGCTTGTCGGTCTTTGTCTTCATGCGGCCGCTCTTGCCAGGAAGTTGCGATTATCTTGAAGTCCTGCAGGCCGCAAAATCGTCCGGCGCTGAAGGCGCCGCTCTGTGGGTCCTTAATCCACGAGACATGACAGGATTTTGCACTTTTGCGCATCCATGGGTGATGTATAACTAGATTGCTCCGAAAAGCTCATGCTATTGTGTCGGGTTTACAGGAGAGCCCAATTCTTATCTAATACATACCCATCTGAATGGAAGGTGTCGTGGTGGGCTCCTTGCGCGTTTCCAGGAAGATCTACCGACGGCTTCGGCAGTCCAAGACTGTGGACATCGAAAGCATTGATCGGCAGCTGCAAGATAAAGGAATTGAGCCAAGTCAGCTTACCGAAGAGCAAGTGGACATCCAAGATGAGCCTTTGAGGGCAGCTGTTATGTCACAGGCCAGCGCCCTGGGCTTGCAAGCCGTTCGCAGGGCCTGCTGTGCCAATGCCTTTGGCGCACAAATGCCTTGTAGGAAGGCAAGGTGCCTCATGCGCGAAGTCATTTCTTGGTGAAGTCAAAATATGCACACGCCCATCGATGTAAAATGGAGGGCCCAGGATTATGGAAGCCTAGCCAGAGCAGAGTGGCCGGAGGTAATGTAACATGATGCGTTTAGAATACTGCGTTTTTCAGAACCATCTCGATTTTGATTTTACCTTCTGACCGACACTAACCCCTTATCAGGATTTTGTGTAACAGGCCAGTGGCCTCCTCTGGGAAGAGTCTTGTTTTTCATAAAACGTGGGTGCGAAGGGCTGTTGATCAGACCACCCACCAACACTGTTGAGGGAAAGGGACAGGAATGTAAACGGACCGGGGGGTGCGGTCCTAGGAACAGGAATTCTTCTGAGGCCCTGCCCTCTCACTATCTCCCACTACACTGTTGACTTTCTAGGGAATCAAGGGGTTCAGGGATGCTTCAGATTGAGAACGAAGGCTTCTAAGGGTTTGTCATGTAGGGTTTGGGAATGGCTTATGGTCTGCGTTCAAGAGAAGGTGTGAGAATGAAGGCTTGGGGTCTAGCGTCCAGGGTTGAACCAGCATGTACAAAAGCTCTGAAAAGTAGCATGTTCACGAGAGATGTCTCGCTTGGGCTTCTCCTCTAATAGCTGCACGGCCAAAAACCGCTTCCATTTGCCCGTCCCCGAAAACGTGGAATCATAGTCCCCTCTGCTGGAAAGAAGTTGGGCACTGTGGTGGCAAAAATAGGGAAGGAGCCAGGCCCTCTGCGTATGTTGTGCTGCTTCAGACTGATGGGTCCAATGCAATCCAGGGCCAGGCATGAGGCCTCTATCCCGACCCTAGCTATTTCCTTCTCATTGTAGGCAAACAGCTTCGATGGTAGTAGTAGCCGTTTTGAATGTCTTGTCTGGTGTTGCTAAAGGCAGTCACTCAGGCCTCGAGGCCGATCAATCGGATGAGGAGCTTTCAAGTTGACAGGTCCGTGGAAAGTCATCACAGATGTCCCGGACTTATTCGCAGCAAAGCATGTGGCATGTGTGTGCGTACATCATGTATCACTTCTTTCTTGGTGCCCTTCTTTGCCCATGTTAAATTCCACGCTCGACAACTTCTGGGGACCAGAGCTGCGCCGCACGTTGATCACGCATGAATCCCATGAATTATTTGACAGCAAGCTACAGTCAGCTAGAGGACCTCTACTAGAGGAGCTCCTGTCAAGCCAGATAGGCTCCACCCAGCGCTGTCCAACGAAGCGAAGGGAGCTATTGGACAATGGCCAGAGAGGCGGGCTGCAGTTGCACAGCTGGATGCCAGGCATGTCTGATGGCTGTGTCATTTTTGTCCAGATGGATGATGTGTAGGGCTTGCGATTCTTAATGTGTTGCCTGGCAAGCGAGATGGGTAGCACGTAGCTAGGCTTGAATGCACCAGGAGTCAATAAACCAGTTGCTTCTGTTCCGGGCCAGCAATGCCTAATGCCGTGCCGACATCTTGCGGTTCAGTCTGTTGCTTGCCGATCAAGAACAACATGGCAGCGCCACAGACCTCGGCTAAAAACCTCAGCCCCACCTTACCAACCTGCATTCTATACATATGCTGAACCTTTACGATCTGTTGGGAGTAAAGTTGACTGTCCAACCATGGCAGCTCTTACACCTTAGAAACAGTTGCAACTCCCAGCTGTCTAAGCAGAAGCTGTCCTTTGCCATGGCACCGCCTTCTATCATGACCTCTGCTGTGTCAGATGAGGAGCGCAAATGCTTTTGATGCCAGATTTGAGTTTTTTGCTGGAACGCAGTGCAGCCTCAAGCTGTCGAATGCTATGCTAGGCATCTGAGGGCGCGATCAATGGCTTTGTCTCAGTTGGGGAAATTACCTTTCGGTTAGCTCAGGGCAACTACCAGGCTGTAAGAGCTTTGGAGACTTCTCCAAAGCAGTAGAATCCGAACTTTGCGTGGGATTTTCATCCTTTGCACAACCTTTGGGTTTGAAGGAGTAAAGACTTGGTTCTTAGATTCTTAGGTCAAGAATTAGAGGAGTCACCGTTCAGGATCCAAGCTGGCGTGTTTCCCATGGGGTTCATGACCACTTGTCCCCCAGGAAGCATGATGAGAATTTCGGGGGAGGGGGGGGGAGTAGGCGCAGCGTGGCAAGCGTGCCAACCAGAGAACGATTGGGCCAGGGGATGGTTCAAATGAAAGTCACTGTTCCTTTGACCAACCAAAGGCAGGCTTTTGCTGCTGCGTTGGTTTGGGAAAGGCTTCCTGGTCTTTGGCAATGGGCTGGCTTGCTCCCAACAAAACTCAGCTTTCAAAAGAGTATGGGAGCAATCGTCAATAGTCAATACTCCCACATTAAGGACTAAATGCGATCAGGACTTCCATGAGTAGCTGGGATTCGCTGAAAAACGCAAACGAGAGGACCCCCCAACAGCCAATAGCCCTTGAGCTGGGCATGTGGAATAAGGTGTATATTACTTAGTTGAAGTAAAAACAGGCGTAAAGCTGTAACTCCTCACATAGAACAAAACCCTCGATAGGAACTTCAACCCCACTTGTGACATGTGTCATTACGTTGGACAAGTAGGTTAGAAGAACATTCATGTAGGACTTGGTAGTTCCAAAGACAACAGATCTGCCTGCATTAAAGGCTAAGGTTTTTGGAATTGACTGAACTAGTATGCGATTGAAGTTGGACGGTTTGTGATACCAAGAACCCCTACTTGTGGCTTTCACGCAGCCCGAAAAAGGAGACCACAGAAGAGACGGAGCCTCTGAAGGACTCCAGCAACTGCGTTGAGATGCCTCACGATTGTCTCAGTAAGTTTGACTCAAAGTCTGTGTAGGTTTGAGTTACCTTGGTGCTGAGTTCTCTGCTGAATGCTGATTTGGGTGGTGTATGTAACAACAGTAGGTTTCCTTGGGGAATGGCCTGACCATTTCCCCATCTGCTGGTTCCTGCTGTTGAGAGTTTTGGATCTTTCAGAACTTTCGGGCAGTATCCACCTACGGGCAGCCCAAGGACATAACGTACGAGCACAGAAGTTGGGTCAGCTCAGCTACTCACATCTCTGCGCCAGGTCTCGGCCAATCTGGAGCAACTCCTGCGAGAGTACGACAGGAGCTGCATTGGATCGTGCATGTTCGGTTGCATCAAACATGACGTGGTGCTGTCAAAGATCTAGCTGCCGCTGCAAGCAATTTTTAGGGATTATGCAGCCGCAGCCCTCAACGGCCCATCATCGGTAACAGCAGTGCCTGTGTGCCTTGACAGGGCTTCAGACGTGGGTAAGAAATCAAGGCCAACTGGGATTTAAGTTTATGCAACATACTATATAGTAGTTTCTATTTTTCCATTATCCCTATATATCCCCAATATATAGCCCCAATATATTATGTAGTAGCCGGAACTCGTGAATGGCAGGCATGATGTGCCCTTCCCAGGAGGCTGAAGCGGATCGAAAGCTTGTACTCCCAACATCAGGACAAGCGAGGGCATCACCGAAAACTGGGTTGCTGTTAAGGAATTTACATTAAGTTACCATAATGCGTATACATGTAGTAATTAATAGAGTTTCCCCAATATAGTGACTTAAATTAAGTTCCTTAACAGCAAACCAGAAAAGCCTTTATACCCTGTCCATTCTTCCCTAAATTGTAGTTTCCATTTTCTTTTCCAATATCCCAATATAGCTTCAATATAACCCCTACATAACCCCTATATAACCAGTCGTATCAATGTTTGGGACGACGATCGCATCCGCTGGCAAAACTCTGCAGTTGTTCATGATTTACTGTCAGATTGGTGCCATCGTCATTTTCTTGTTGTTCTTAGTCCGCATATTTCTGCATCGTCAGCCTAATCATTTTCACAATCGCGAAATCGCCGTCAGCGTCACTGTGATCCTGCTGGTGCTGGTGTCGGTGCTGTTGCAGATGCTGTTGCAGATGCTGTTGCAGATGCTGTTGCTGCTGTTGCTGCTGTTGCTACGGTGCAAGTGTTTGTTGGTGCCACTTGAAACATTCTCTTGGGCACGTGAGGATGCCAGTCTTGATGTAGCAGTGGCGAGAAGCAGTCCGCGGGCCGCGCAAGGCACTTCTTCCCGCATCGGATTGTGCATAGCTTCGGATTATGTGAAGTGGCAAAGTTGCAGAATTGATCGGTCTCTGGAAAGGCCCAGTTGCCCAGATCATTGGCTGGCTACCCAGGAATAAAGTTGGACGAGCTGGGATAGTTGTTTCAACTGATTTCAACTCAATATCACATCTGTAGGATGCAGAGCCGGCGAACATCATTGAGCTCCCTCTTGCAAGCACCCTCCCCCCAATAATGCAATTTCCATGCGCGTCTCCCATACTTGACCATGTGCTCTATAGAATTGCACGACGCACGTGTGAGAAACCCAAATAGATTCGCCCTTGGCACCAAATGCCCCGCTGACGCTGTTGCCTGCTTTTGCTCACTAATGCCCCTGCTCCTGCATTTCTTTTCTTTGGGTACTGTTGCCTTCTTCGGGATGATGGCTTTAAGCACACTGTGCTAGGATATAGTTTCGATATGGTCTTGAAACCAGCCTGTGTTGCCCGAGATCGCTTCTACCCACTTCTCGCATTGAAACATGGGAGGTCCGTGTTAGGAGCAGCCAGGCGTGCAGCAGACTCACGTTCCACTTACAAAGTGCCAGAGAATCAACATGATTAGCAGACACGTTTTACATGCAACTGAACACGAGCGCACGGCCAAACGCTCTCTTTTGCTCATGTTTGTTCTTTTGAGTGCGTGCTAGAAAGTCCATGTGGCGAAGGTTGTGCCTATGCCTTTTTTGCTAGTGGGATTGTGCCTTGGGGCATGTGACCCCAGCATTCTTTGGGACCAGTTGCAGCAGATCTTCCACACCTGGGCCTGCCTGTATTTGGGAGTTTTTCAGGATTGGGGTACCTGATAGGGCACTGAGGCGGCGATGCGTCTGTCACCAGTGCGCACTTCCTTGCTCGGAAGTCAGCAGCTCAGTACGGCTGTCTTCGGTTGCTTCGTGGAAAGATGATTCAAGTCACAGCACAATGGCGAGAGGGCTGGAGTTCCAGAACAGGTGCACGGTCACCTAGCTAGTGGGAAGACAACAGCAACCAACTTTGCAAGGGAGCTGTCGAGCAGCAAAGTCGACCTCGAAGAGCAGCTGCCCCGGTGCTGGGGGGATATGGGTAGTAGAGATATCATACGCCGACTTTGCCGTAAAAAAAGCAGAAGACACAGACACAGCAGCCCTCCCTCCAAGGCAGGCTGAGCTAGATGCCAACGGCTCAGTGTTGAGGTCACCAGTCCTCTTTTCGGCCCTCATCGGCGAAGAAATTCACAGAAGCTGACTGAGCTGACTCAGGATGCGCATCCCTTCAGCCGCATGTGGATGAACGCCCGAATGCAGTGGCCTTACGAGCTGTCGCAATCACCAGCTGCGTGTGAAGGCAGCACAGGTCGCATTCCAAGATTGGTACAGTTTGCTTTCATTTGCGGGCTGGTTTGCATGTATGGCTGGCTGAACTTAGGCAACAGAAGGAGATGTTCGATCAGGACTTGTGATTGCAATCTCAACGTGACTTGCGGGCAGGATTAGCAGGCATTCTTCTGAGACCAGATGGAGTGCAGCATGCAAGTCAGGAAGCTTGGTAAGCAGGACCTTCTGCAATCTATCTACGAGAAGTCTGGCCAGAGAGTGCTGGGCCCAGTCGGCATCTGGTCGGATTTGGTATCCCCCCTGCATGGAAAAATACCCGGTTGCTGGGAGCCAAGCGATGACACACAGTGAAGATGCTTCCAGCCAATTGAGCTGCAGAAGTATGACAGGTGCGCAACCGGACTGCGGTGTTCGGGGGCGGCCTGATGGGCATTCTGCCTGGGCCACCAAGATTCGCATGTAAGCATAGAGCTCTAGCGCTTGAGACCTTCGCACGGCCTGACATGTATCCCGCACCAAAATCTTCTGCTCAAACTAAATACACGAGGAGCCTTCAGATTTCCGGACGTTGGCTTGATACTAGTATGTCATACGTGCTACTTAGGGCGAACGTCGGCATTTTGCGAGCCCGCTGAGGTCCATGCCCTTCGGGCCCATCGGTATGGCTGCTGGCGCACTCTTCGGAGCTCTGGCACCTCGGCAGCCGTGATTCCTGATACTCCTGACGCATGCAACATGATTCACGTGATTGAGGCGCAGGTGCTAGAAATGGCAGATGGTATGATCTATGCATGTATGATCATGCAATCATGCATGATTGTGCCAGGTCGGTATGCTCATTGGGCCTTGGCCCTACAAAGCTTCTCCGCCTCTGCAGAGCTGATGAGCATTCCTAATGTGTCGCCCCTTTGCTTGCCGACGCCAAGGATATGCCTGGATAGACGGCGGTATATGCGGAATATGAAGCAATCCGAAATTGAGACCAGACGCTTGAAAAGCCTGGTCCGATTCCCAGAGATGCTGGCATGAGGCTGAAGGCAGCCATTCCTGCAGGAGTCAGGCTTATTGTTCAAATCCTGGCTTTCCGTAGTTTGTCTCTTCATGAAACGGTCACCATCAACCCCCATGCCTGCCTGTATCTGCCTTTGAAGGTTGAGATTTTGCAGACAAGCTGCCCTTGGGAGATAAAGCCTTTGATCGAGAGAATGCTCAGGTACGCTGGTCTGCAGAGCGATTTGCAGATGAGGCACGCACTCAGATCGTTCTTGTAGTATTGTGCTCCTCCACAAGGTTCGCAAGACCATATAGAATACAATGTTCCCCATTTGGGAGGGCTGCGGCTGTTGTCGTTTCAGCAGTATTCTGTAGAGACGCGTCCTGTGGTGCGGATTGTCATTTAGCCCTGGCTCTAGGGTCTAGGAGCCTGTACTAGCAGTAGTCTTCAAAGCCATGACGTCGCGTGAGTTGGTGGGCAAGCTTACGGATGACCTTCGTGACAATAAAACTTTCGTCCAGCTTGAGAATCATGTGGCTGCACATGCAAAGCACGTTGGGTGATGTTGCTTGCATGGAAGCGGATGAAGTAGCCTGGTGCTGGTGCAAAATGCCTACCAGGCTGAGAAGCCCACAGACAGCTGAGGAGCTTATCGAGCAGAAGGCCCACGGAGCTGATGCAAGAGTCAATGCCTCCAACAATGGCAACAGACAACACAGTGCCAGGTGGCACACACAAGGATGGAATTATTGGGCTTGGGAGTGCCACACAACAGCGCGGGCAATGTCACGAAAGGCGAACGCTTTGAAGCGCTTGAAGAGAGACCCTTCATTCATCTTCATTCGGGCTTTGACGAAGAACCAGGAGTCCATGCGATTGGACATGGGGCTCACATATTCGAGCTGCTGTCGAACACTCTCCTATGACTATCCCTTTGCACTTTGCACGACGCGCGCCTGAAGGTGCAGCCCAGCAGTGTTGAGCGTGGCATTGTGTTTGTTGCTATTGTTGGCGATGTTGACTCTTGCCCCTCGAGCTCCTCAGCTTGCTTGACACCAGCAGCGCATCTTGGACTTCCACGTCCCATCAGCACAGGTGCAAGGATGCTGATTAGGTTTGGGTAGTTGCCGGCGACTGGCAATGTCGAAGCCAGAACCAGGAGCACCAGCGATCGTTTCACTGGGTGAACTGCGTGGCACTCGAATTGGGATGACACATGCGGTCCTGCATGGTCCACGAAAGTGTCCGCTAGCACATGGAAGTCCAGTGGCAGTGTCTAGCCAAGCTTAGAGAAGTCCAAATGTCCCATCGGGATATGCGGGATGACACGTCCTCTTCTGATCCGCGGGAAGAATACTTAGGCTTCTATAGGGGTAAACAGGGGACATGAAGGAATTAAACCCCACTGATGGGTTTCAGGATTCGGGTTGATTCAGTTCGTTCACGTTCACGGCTTGTCTGTGGAGAATTCCGGCTGCTTGGAGCAGCGTCTCCATCATATGGACCCATCGAGAGTTCCGACGCTTGATTTGTTTGTACAGAGCTGATCAAATCACCTCCCGGCAATAATTGAAGCCCGCTGCAGTATATTGAGAACCTGAGATAGGGAGAGGTGATTATAAGGATTGCCACGAGCCTGGTTGCATCATGCCGCTTCATACACAGCTGATGCGAGGACGACCCCCAGGCTGCCGTGCAGCATTTAGAGTTGGTGCGGCGGCCCAGTTTTAACATGAAGGTTTTGAGGACTCCTGCTACATAGACTGCAATGTTTGTTTGGCTTTCTTGGCGGCTTCTCAGGTCGTCTTGGAGTTCAAACCCATAGCCGACATAGCTGCGGCCTCCAAAAATGCGCCGTCGACCCAGAGAATCTTCTGCAGTGCGTGTTCACATGTTGACCTTCTGTCGGGCTGATGTTTGGCTGTTGCTGCAGCTGCGCGTTGTAACCAGGAGGCGAACCCTCAAACTCTTGGATTCCTGGGCAGCCCGCAGAAGCTGCTTGGCCAAAACAAGCGAGTGGCTGGCAACATCTACAGAGCATGCATGAATCAGAGGAGTACCATTGCTAGTCTGGCTGGATCCAGTAGATGGGTTCTTGGCAACCTGAGAAGACCACTGGAACGTACTTCTGGACTGGCGGTCCAGAGAATAGTTTACCGATCAGCATGAGCCGCGTCAGTGACGAACCTATCGAAATGATTGGGGCTTTTCGAGAAGTTTGATCTACTCTGTATTTGGGATCGGTGTCAAGGACCCATGTCAAACAAATGTCGATTTTGAGGCATGATGCGTCAGCTGTGGGTGGATGCCTGAGATCTGTCACGGTTGCCACCTGTCAGTGCGAAATCCGCAGCTATCAATCTACATGGTTGATTGGTAGAAATTGACTGCATGCAAGTCAGAGCGGTTTCCAGATCAACGGTAAGCGGATGAGGCTTATATGGACAATATCCTGATCAACTGGAAGCAGCTGACGCAAGCAGACTTTCTGCGCAAGATGCCATGGCCCAAGTCTGGGACAGACACGTCATCTACAGCTTCATCTTGTGAGACATCTTGAGACTCGAGACAGGATCGGGAATGTGACTCAACCAATGCTGACAGGCTTTTCAAGCATGCGCGGTTCAACAAGCGCATAAACCCAATCAGAGCTGATCGCCGCTGAGGCAGTAGATATTAGAAGATGATCTCGACATTGGGTTTTCACGCTCCGTGCCTCTCATGCTCAAACAAAGAAAATTGTACATGAATCTCTTGGATCCAGACTTGCTGAGAATCCTGTGCCATCATTGATCATTTCTTTAGTTGCAAGTCTTCAGATAGCTCCAGCTTGCGCAGGCGACTCCTCTACAGACCGTTAAGACTTGCTGGGGCCTTGCTGACAGTAATCATCAGTAATCCTGGACAACACAGAATTCGGCCACTTGCACTTGCCGCGGCGCGGCGCTGCGCCGCGTGGCTAAATGGCAACGCCAAAGAGCGGAGACCAGGCCGCATCCTCCATTTGTCCAGTGTACTGCTAACGCAAGTGTACGTTTGAGATAAGGGCACGTCTCGCATCGCAACGTGAAGCCCCCTCAGATACAGTGCGGTTACGGGCTGCCCATATCCAGACGTGGCTGACAGGCTGCAGGAGTCACGAACAATGAGGCGAGGGCCTCGAGGGACCTTGAAGTTCTTTAGAGAGGGTAGGTCGCTTCGCTTTTCTGTTGTTTTATGGATCATTCCTGCGCTGAGTCCAACTCCGAACGCCAGCGCACATCTGGAGGTTCTGGGCCACGGGTTTTTGCAGTTTTGTTGATCTAATTCTTCCAGCAACAGAGTGGTTTGGGTTTGAACTAACTTTCCAGTGCAACGGGTGACCAATTGACAAAGTAGGTAAGCCCAGGAAGAGCCATGTGTTACAATCAATTCTGATAGACTTGGCAAGTCCCTCAAACAAGCCCGAACTCTGGAGCATTGAAGACCTCGCGCGAATTTGTATGTGCTTGTGACATGGCTAGTGAAATCAACATTGGCAAGTATTTGGTGGTGCATTTGGCGTACTGGTTTGTTGAGCTCCGTTTTCGTCTTGCCGCAACAGTTGTCCCAGATCGTTGCAGTCATCGTGACCAGATGTTTGCAGCGCATCCGATCCATGTCAATGTGTTTGCAGCTTTGGCGCAGGTTATCCTGATCCTTACCTCTACAGCGGCAAGGCTAAGGACCGCTTTCGGAACAGCACGGTGTGCACATGATAGGTTTGCAGGACAGGAATCTATCACAAGACAGCATCTTGGCATTTATTGATGTCATCGAACCCTGAAGCAGGTTTGGTGCAAGCACCTAGTCACGAACCCTCATTTCAGTAAGATACATGGCATCTAGCCAAAGAAGGCCTACTAAGCGAGGGGAGGATCTTCATGCTTTTCACGCTTTGAAAAGATGGAGGCCACATCGCTCTACAACCCTCCTGTCGAGCTGCCATCCTCGAGTGCCAGCAACTTCTTTGAGGAGGCATCGGCAGGACTGGCCTGTGCTCTCAGATCATGGGCCCTTTTGGCTGCTATACGGATAGGGACAAAGGATCCGGAAAACAGGTGAGGCTTCTTGAAGTCATGGGCCCGTCTCAGGGCATATGCTTATCGGATCTTATTGGGGTATATGAGGGCACCATGATGTTTGGAAATGCCTCGCGGGCCAAGTGTCCATCTGATACGCAGGAGAACCAGAAGAGATGGAAACACGCCGCAAATTCAACAAGTTCTGCACCCGAGCCAAAGACGGCGCTGAACCGCAGCACTTCCTGTCGTTTGACAACTTTGTTTCCCTACTGGCCCACTATGAAGCAGCATCGCCCTCAGCGGTGTCATCCTATTTCTACGCGGTGGACCGCACCTTGGTTCACACACCAACAGCCTTTTTTGCATTGAGCTTCGTGTTGTGAGCAGCTGCGTGCAATGGACCCGGCACTCTTTGAAGTTGAAGTAAAGCCTGTCGTCTGATGAGACTGATGAGTAGCCCATTCCTTCGTGAGCCATTCTTGCTGACTATCAGCTGTCTGCATGTATAGAGTTGTCGCTTCACATGCTGGCGGATGGTCATCCGCGAGACAGGTGCAACCAAGATGAGATGCTTCCCTCAAAAAACATTCATGCGCAGGCAAACGTGACAACATGATTGACTTTGATGAGTTCTTCCTTGGTGCGGTTGCTGGAGATCCAACGTGCCGCTGCGCAAGTTGTGATGTTGCAGACACCACCGTGTATTCAGGTCTTAGGCATCGAGTGTGGAGTTCCTGCATAAACACTGAGGTGCAGGAAGTAAGACCTTTGATTTTCTAAGTTGCGCAACTACATCTCTGGATAGTTCTACAATTTGTGCTGGGACCGTGTATCCCGTCAGGTGTGAAGCTCTGATATAATCTTGTCTGGTTCTATCTGCTTCTCATAGCTAACTTGGACTTGGAGTCGCCAAGGACAGTGCACATCCTCAATTCCTTCACCGGAAGACCCTTGGAGGGATTGTAGTCACCTCATACATACCTTTGCATTCCTCGGCCGGAGTAGTAGCCCACGCTCCACGAAGCAAGTGTACTGGATTGCAAAGAAAAACGTTGCATAACAAAGCCATACCTGCTGAGCCTGTTTGAAATAGATATGTCACCAGGTCACTTTGGTGGAAGCAAATCCTGTAGCCCTTGTCACAGGAGAAAGGGCGCAATTCACATTCGACTTTTACGACACAAATCACTCTGGCTTCCTAGAGCTTGAGGAGTTCGAGAAGATTGATGCTCGCCCGCAACTAGCACCGATGGTGAACTGCGGTAAACCAACTCCCAATTCGAGCACATCGTTCAGCTCCGCAACCTTTTTGTGCGCCTTGTGCTTTTGCAACAGCTGTTTGTTCGTTTCAGGTCAGAGATTGTGCTCTGGCCCAGCTGGCCCCATCGACGTCCAGATTTCATGCACTTGAGAAAGCAGATGAGCTGGGCCTCATAGACAGGCCATGGCAGGGATCCTGTTCCAAGCTCCCGGCCTGCCCAAGCACCCAGTTATACCAAGCTTAACTTTCTTGATTCTTTGCAGGAAAGACGGTAGCTTCATACCTCCAGACAAGAACAAATTCTATGAGTTCATCATGACGGTGCCCGGGCTGAAATGCGTGGATGCGATCCTTTCTTTTGCGCATAATGTGTGATGTGTGATGCGTGTGAGAAAGGAACGCTTACGTGGCACTTCTCGGCTCTTCCGCTTTCAGAAGACGCTGATAAGACCACACAATCGGAACACGAGACGAGACTTGGCTGCTAACTTAGAATCCAGTGAGGTTTTGGGCAGTGGGTTTGGAAGCATGCCTTGACACGCGACTGCAGTCAGAGAGAAGTAAACAGAGCTGCTGCCTGCAAAGCAGCTCTGCTGGAAATAGCAGCCCGAGTAGCTTACTCTATTTCTTCCATGGCTCGAGTTTAGAATACCGCGGCGATTGCGAACAGATACAACAGATATGACAGATCTGAGGTGGGCACCCGCCTAGCGCCAACGAAGTGCCGGCGGAGGCCAATACTACGTCTGTGCAGCCGCTACCACGCTCGGAGCGCGGCCATCGCGGCGAGCGTGCAGATGGTGCTGAGCGGCAGTCGCTGCCTCATTTAAGCAGCTTTTCCCTGGGGCCCCTAGGATGTTGGGCTACATCATCCTTGGAGGCATCTATGCCGTATCGCAAGAACTTAATTCGCAAGAACTTAATTATAGCATGTTCGACATCTTCAGCCCTTCAGACAGTTTGACGGCTCCTGCCGAGGCCAAGAGAGGGCTTCGAGCTTCCAATCCTAGAGGCCAAGCTCCGCTTCCCCGAAGCCATAACGCTTACTCCAGGGGGCTGAACAGGAATTCTATTACAGGGACATACATGGGCTATGCATGATAGGCTGTGGGGATATAGTGGTGAATCGAATTTAACAGCAAGGGAAAATGAAATGAAAAGTGGCATTGCTCATGCTTGGGGGTGGGGAATGGCTAGCTACGAGCAGTTATGAGGACAATGATACGGATTGCATGAAAAAGCTACCAAATCGTTTTGGTAGACTGCCTGGAGCATGGGGTGGGCTCAAGATGTACACGCACCATCTGGTTCTAAAGTGCCTTTTCAGGTTGGAATCATTCCCGACCTTGTTTTGGGAAATCATAGGGCCGGGTTGGCAGAGGCCCCACGGCACCTGCTTTGCGCGCCACATTGCAGGAACATGATGCTTTGGCCGAAGGCAGTTGGACTTCATGACATGTAGAATCCTCCCTGCGCTTCTCTTCTCCGGTCATGTCATGCTTCGAGAACCAGTCATAGCTTGGTACCACCGCAGTCCAAAGCGCAAGGAACAACCCTCAGGCGAAATGCCAGTGCCTGCCTCAAATACCATTAGGAATTTGCCAGTTTTTTGCTATGGCGGCACCGGAACAGAAACTTCGATGAGGCAGGAAGCAAGGTATTGGAGACGTCCTGCTGTCAGGAGGCCAAAGAGGACCCCATACCAGACATGACGACCGAAGAGCCGGGCAGCGAACAGGAGCTGAGAAGAAGCCCCTCAGAAGGGAGTCAGACTCTGCTATTCGAAGACAAACTCTGTGAGCTGAAATGAATCTTAGTCTGTGTCGCAGCCGAAAATCAGTGCTCAGATACATTAGCCATGCCACTGCAGACATCAGGTCGAACAGGTATGAACAAATGTTGAGAATGGATCACAGCGCATTTGCATGCCAAGCGATGCTAGCTGACTTTAAGTCGCTTAAAGTTGAGCGGTACAGAGTACTGAGTACTTACAGTAGGGGTGGGCATACCGCTTGAGAGGATTCTGAGATGAGCCCGTACAAACTGGGCCGCGAAAGCGACGCCCCCAGCCCAAGCGAGACGAAGGACCACAGAAAAGGATGTCAGTCTGACTGCAACAGTGTCCCGGGTGGGTGTGGCTCGTATGTCATGACACATCTTAGGCTGTGATTCCTACCAGGCCGCAGTGTAGTCAGAGCGAGCTTAGGAAGCATTTGGAACAGGACGTGTCGGCACTTCCGCCCTACGACACCTACCTGCCACCCGCACCTCCTTGCCAAATCACCTTGGACACTGATCTCGGAGCCTCAGCTCTGATATTAAGCATGGGTTTCGAAGTAGCAGAAGTGGTGCTCTTGATGCAATGGCAAGCCAGATGCAGCGTCACAACTCGCAGTAGCTTTGGCAAACGCCCTTACACGTATCCTTGCGAATCACTTCCAGACTGCAAAGCAGGTGTTGCCGATGCCGTGATCGTGGCGCAGCGCGTTGTGGAGACACTCAGAGTGGAGGACTTTCCAGGTTGCACGGCCGCACGCAGCGGCCAGCAAATGGGTTTGACGAATGCATGTCGGCACCTGGTCAGGTCTCGTACCCCCGCCGGACGGAAGCTTTGCGCTTTTGACCTCGTTTGAGCTCATCGGGCTCTGCGCGGAACTTACAAGCACTTCCCACTTCTGCTTTCCTGATCGATTCTTCCAGATCCAGAACAGCCGTCGCAAGCTTTGCAGCCTGCTGTCCATGAAGCCCTGCCCAAACACACCGCAGTCTGCCGCATCCTACTTGCAAAGGCAATGCAATTCGGCCCATTCTCCAGGAAGAAGAGATGACTCCAACCATGCACTAGGTCTTGTGATTCACCTACGAAAGTGGTCTGGCACGTTGCGAAGAAAGCATGCATGTAACAGGGAATCCGCCAGATGATGTATCTCCAAAGCATGATCAGAGTGGATATGGGCTGTCGATCTTGAGTCATTTTGTCCGGAGGTCAAGCTGTAGGTCATGGTACGGCCTTGCGCCCAATCCAAAGTCGCAGCAGCCAAGGATCATCCCCAATGTGACAGAGCCCGTCAAAGTCTTTGGCCACTGGACAGCACATAGCCAAGACACAGACCAGATTCCAAAGATTGTTTCTCGCAACTTATGTATCATTCAGTTTTGTGGGGCCCGCATAGTCAGGATCCTGTCATCTTGAGGGTGTAAAGTGAACCCAAATGGATCCCAGAGCTCGAGGGAAGCTGCCAGAAGCTGGTTTGAGACTCCTCGCTAGGTTCGCTTCATGGGCAGCTCACCGATCTCCTGTCCTGGTTTAAGTGGCATAAGCCACCCTCGGATGAGCACATGACAGGCGATCTCCTGCACTTCGGCACCTTTAGATTTTGGTACTTTCCGCGCATGTAGCATTTCTTCCGAGCCGTGGCGCAGAGCTCAGGTATGTGAACTATGTTTTCCTGGGCGACTATGCAGACCGTGGGGGCTATGGATTGGAGGTCATTTCGATCCTCTTCTCCCTGAAGGCTTCTCTCAGAAATCGCTAGGGACAGTATGTCTGCCAGCGGCTGGCTTAGGTCCACCATCCTTAGCGTGAGACAAGCCGTCCCAAACGAGAGATTGCACAACCATCAAATCTTGCTCCATGAGCCACAGTGGCTTACTTTTGCCTGATTGCAAGAGGTGTTGTTTCCCGACAGAGTCTGCTTGCTTCGGGGTCACCATGCTCCGCAGTCGCAATAGGCTTCTGCTTCTCTTGGCTGCCATGGCTTCTTGTTCGTTTGCAGTATGTACTAACGAAACTCACATGACCATAAGTGTGCATGTATCTGCGATTAGCCGGTTACTGGCTTGCCTGGGGAACAGGGAGCAGACTTGTGGCATCGTAATTTGAATGGCTGGCCGTTGTTGTGTCGATGCTGTCATAAACCTTGCACCACAGCATCTTTGCTCTATGTCAGCATTACGAGGAAGTACAAGTACTCAAGTACGTCCACAATGTTCACATCTTCAGCGAATCTGAGGAGAACCGGCACGTGAATTACCACCTCGGTCTCCGGCAGGAATGCGAGAAACGTCTTGGGGCACAAGGTGCCATCCATGAGAGGGCATTCGAATAGCAGCAATGCGATTACAAGCCATCGAGGGCTTTCCAGTAGGTGTCAGCATCTAAGCAGGGGCAGCATAAGCAGGATCCGGCTGGCTGACATGCTTGGCCGGTAGGGTTTGGTCCCCACTTTGAAGTGACATGTAATTATAGTACAAGGCCAAATCCTGGTTCAAGGAGGGGCCCCAGCTTCGAAAGCTGCAGCATACATGCTTCCTCCTCTGGAAGGCCTTGAAGTCTTCGAGCACTTGAACAACGCGCGCCCTGACTAGCATTCCATCAAGCAGCGTAGTGTGACAGACGGACAAGGCTCCGTTGCAGGGCTTCAGATCTTTTTGACTTGACCAGTTCTTGACCGTTCTGCCGAGGTACCCCATGCAAGATCATTCAGCAAAGGGGACTAAGATTCAGAGCGATTGCGCCTCTAAAGGATCCCTTTATGATATTGCTTGGCATGTTAATTACTGTTCGCAAAACAACCCTAAAACCCTAGAAGATCCTACAAACGCCATCACTGTTGAGGTTCGAGTATCTCTCCCTGGCTGCGACGACTCGAGGCCAGTATCTGGCGATGGGACCAGGGGTTGTTCCTGCATCGCTCTCGCGTCTAGACGCCCGCCTCTTCAAGCTGGGTGTAGGATGTTGTAGGCACAAGACAAATAGTATGGGAAACGCTGTTAAAAAGAGGTGTAGGTAGTGACAATGTAAGTACTGCTGCTGACCCCTCCCAACATACCCACGTCAGTGAAGCCAGTGCCATTGCTTGAGCTTTCCAGTGTTGCGCTACAAAGATCTACAAGTAGTGACCGTGTGTATTTCTCTACTTACAGCCTTTGCAGGGGGCTTGGCAGCTGCTTGCTTAGGGCAACTAATGGCGAGCAGTGGTTTCTTTTGCTGGGGCAGGCTGTACAGTCTGTTTGAGGCCAGCTTTGTCCTTTGCAGTGGGAACCGAAACCTGGTAGTGCTGGAAGCTAAGGAACATCTCAAGCGCTTCAAAAAGCCCCTGACGCTGCCGTGGCCCGACTTGATTTGACATTGTTTTAGCATGCACGATAGCATACTCGCGGCAGAGGCACCACGGTAGAGGGAAGCCAGCGAGCCACAGTTTGACAGGGATCTGGCGAGAGTACAAATAACCACAACCACTCGGCCACAAAGGCACCCGTCGCTGGCTTTCGGAGGCGAAGACGAGACTGACGAGAAGGCAAAAAAGGGGAACTTTGATCGAACCATGCTGTAGCTTCAGGAGGGCAGTGGCTGCTCGACTGCTTATAGTTCTACACTTCTACGTAAAGGTATGCAGCCTGTGACGGCTAAACCAAGCGAAGCTATTGTTCTCACCACTGACCTCACATGCAATGCCGCTGCCTCCAGATCTTGTTAGAGCTCTTCATGCACCTTGGCTTGTACTAGTCTGCGGCAGCAAACTTGTCCTCGCCATGAGGCACGCTGTCTCTCGGAAGTAGTGCCTTAAAGCTTCCGTGTATCTGCGAAAAGTGTCGCTTGAGCCTGAGTGCCACTGAGACCGGCATCGCTGCTGTCTCGGGAGATGGGCAAGAGTAGCGTGCTGACCGGCAAGCAGCTGAGGGTCCGCCTGCAGATCTTGAGTGCAGGGGTAAAGCGCAGTGTGGCACCTGTGTTTCTGATGGGAGGCCTTCTGTGCTGTTCACAAGCTCTGGGGCATACTGCTCAGCCGGGAGACACTTGGCTGAACCATGCGAACTTGGCGCCACACTCAAGCATTCCTGTGAGCACAAAGCATGATTGTCCCAGCTGCCCCTTGCATTTTCTAAGGATAGTGCCGCATGGCCACTTGCAAGAGGACTGCGTCATAAGGTCGGGCAGTTCGGACCATGCAACATGTGCTGCAGATGCAGATGAACAGATGCATGGATGGGCCGAAGAAAAAAAAACAGTGCAAAGTGCACAAAGTGCTCTGCTAATGTGGGAAGCAAGATCATCAGGAGTTTTTGCACTGAGCCTCAGCTAACATACACGCGATTCTGGCATGCATCAATTTGTGGCTTGTGGCAGAAGGCATCTCATTCTCAGGGCTGCCCCTGCCAGCACACGTATTCAAATCCGTTGCAAGTAAGAGGCTTTTTGGTCAAGATATTGCGTTTAGGTCGGACGTGTCTGCTTTTGGCAGGGTTTGTTCGTGCCTCAACTACTGCGATCTGCCCTTGGGGAACCTGGCCTCCATCCTGTACATCACGGACGAGGACTCGAATGTCACGGTGAGACCGAAGGCAGCAGGCTGGGATCATTTATATCCTGGCTTCAAGTGCTGGTAAGCTCAGGTTCTGACCACCTACCTCGACAAGCAGTACTGCTATCTCTCAGGCGCGTGGGTTGAAATCTTTGCCACGTCCATGCCTAAGAGAAGCCTGCAGATAACCTAGCGCCTGCCTCCGTGTCATGCCAAAAACATTTATCTTGGACTGGCCCTAGGACTTTGTTAGTTGGTTAGTTGCATAGCCGAAGCAGTTGAGCTTCGGGTGAATTTGGCAAAAACTGCACCTGCTTCACCTGCTTTGAGACTACACCAGCCCGACGGTGCCCCGACGGAACAGCTCGCCAAGCCGCTGGCCTAAGCAGGCGGGTCTTGTGTCGAGCTGTAGATCTCAAATATCGGGAACTGTCCATTACCCAATGCCAAGCTGCAGGGGATAGACGATCCAGAACAGCTACCAATCATCTAACAGCTGAAAGATCCTCGAGGGTATCAAGCGCTGACATGAGCAATGTCAACTTCTCAGGGCTATGTCTATGAAGAGCAGAACATGCAGCTTTGTTTTGTATGGCAGGTACGGGCACCCACTCCGGACCGCATTATGGCCCCGGAAGAAGCAGTGGGGCACTCAGGGTGCAGCAGCAGCTGCTTGAGCAGCTCTAGATTGCTTAATGCAAACGCTCAAATGCCCCGACCAGAGGCCGAGCGCCACGAAAAGAGTCCAGATGAGGCTGGGTGCTTGGAGGGTAGTCGAGGTTTGGGATGTTGCGTCTTTGTACACGCCCCCACGCCAACACCATCCAACAACTGCTACTACACCTTCAAAAGTTTAGCAGATCACTCCCCTGCCTTTGCCGAAGGACGATGGCCTCTTCCTCTTTCCCGCGTACAAGGCCTGTGCGCCGAAACGGGCGCGCCCTGGATCCTTGGATCAGGAACTTGCTTGCCAAACCCACAAATTCCCCAAGTCCCATATTGCGCAGCACAAGCCAGCACCGCAGTAACGTTTTTATATGTCTTTTTGCGAAGGATCTTGCCGAGGAAATCTAGGAATTTAGCATGGGATGGTAAATAACAACTCCCCGGTGGTTCCAAGGATCAACGATACCTGATGGCCGACGGCCAGCTCCAGGCAACCTGTGGGTGCTTGCATCCTTGTTCTTAAGATGGGCAGGTGCGACTCAACTTATTATTCTTATGAACATTGTCAGGGGCCTGCTTGGGTACTGTATGTTGTTAAAGTGCCGTTAAAGGCTGTTTGAAGTAGAAGAATGCTGCCCCATGGCGCAAACAAGCAGATACGCTTGCTGCCAGATTTGCAGTCGAGTGCACTGATATGTGCATACCATCGCATGCCTCCGCTGATTGATTGGACATGGCTGCGCTGTGAATAAGTTCCAGCGCATCTGGAGGTTAAACGCCGCTGCGGCTTGCGAGATCGTCAAAGCTTGTTCCAGAGATCGTTGGAAGCGTGCCCGCGAGCGTTTGAGCTGAGCGGTGAACCTTGCTGGTGGGGCTGAAGCGCAGCAGGGTTCAAAGGCTTCATGTGTTCTGCTGCATGATATTGATTTTACGTAGATTTAAGTAGAAGTAAGCATGATTCTATGCTGCATCCAAAGTCACAGTGATGTGCGGAGAAGCAGCGCTCCCTTCAGCAGTCGACGGACGCAGAAGCCCATAGCTAAATTCACGCCAACGAAGCCTGGATCCGAGCTGCGGAGAAAAGCGGCAACGGCACAGACCTGCAGGGTTTTTGAATAAAAGGCTGTCGCTACTGGCACAGTGACGGAAGCAAACATCAAGCCTTTGCTGAAATTGCCATATAAATCCAGTTGACATGTTATTTGCAATTTTCTTTTCCATTTCATTTGATTCTCCATTATCTGGGTAACATCCCTAAACCCTATGTGGCCGTATAACCCCTACATCACCCCTGTGTAACCACTATCACTATGTAGCATGTTGCTGAGGCAGGTCCTTCAGACGCTCCTGGTCATGTACCGTTGCGCTTCACGGGTCTTGGCAGAGCCAGAGGTGCGCCATTATGCGCTATTCCCTGGGCCAAGATCATAGTAACAGTATTAATAGTAACGAGAGTAGTAACTGATGGTAGCAACGGTAATGGTTATCCCTCTTTCCCCACAGCTGCATGTGTGTCAGGAGAACTTTGTCCTTCGAGTGGAACGGCTGTTGGATAATGAGCTGGTCAGGCCAAGGGAGAGGGAAGGAATGCCGAAAGGCATCATTCAACCGGGAAGGGATGCTGACAGGAAGTGCAAGATAAAGCCAATGAACCGGCATATCTTCAGAACAGAAGCCTTTCAAGTAGCGACACCTCTTCGGGTCTCTTCGTAGCAAGTAAGATATCTAGCCCGATGGAATCGCAGGGTAAACAGCTACCCCCAACGGCTCAGGGAGACGCACGTAGGATTATCCAGCTGATCTGCAGCTGCCTTGTTCACCAATTTTCCGCTTCATTTTCCATTTGATGCTCTATTATTCGGGTAACATATCCCTATCCCTGTACACTCCCTGTATATAGGAGCTTCCACTCATTTGAACCTGCGCAGGTTTGTGATCTCGTGTGGGCCCAAGCTACAGGTGCTGCAAGATTTCATGAGCCGCTTCTGCATCGTCTGAGTTCACCAAAACAGCCGATTTGCTAAATGCTGGCTTGGGTGCAGCAGACTCTTGTCACTGGAGAGCTCATTTGCTATGGTGCTCAATGCAAGAGCTACTCACTTTTGACAGCGTGTGACATCCACTGCAGGCAGCAGCAACAGCTGTCCTCAAACAACCAGGCCGGCAATACAGGGAGCGCAGTCTTTCACGACTGATTAGATCCGCTGCCTTCTTACTACAACGGATCGAACTTCAAGCCTCCGCATGCAGATATCACACGAGGCTAGGTCACAGGAATGACTGCATAGTTATTTGTTAGCAGACGCGTCGAGTCAGCATCAGTCGCACGTGGCAAAGCGCAGATGAGCCATGTCGAGTACAACCACAGCAGTCAAGCACATGTCCTGCGTCAGGGTGCAGTCCTGGCAGAAAGCATGATCTTCGCGGATGCTCGGAAAGGTGCCTTGATGTGAAATCTTGTGGAGCTGTTGAGCTAGCTTGCTGCAGCCTTCTAGCGAGAAGGATGAGAGCTTGAAGCTACGCAGAGCCTTTCAACTGGAATTTTCGCCAAGGAAAACGTAGCAAATCAAAGGGCACTCTCCCGGAGAGGGAGCTCCACGCTCAGATCGAGGAGGCAAGCAGCCAACGACCAGAGCTTTGTGCTTTGTGCTTCATGTTTTAAATAAAGTTTGGCGCACGCACGCAACTTGACGACCTGCACTGCAGGACTCCGATCATGAAGACATGGACGTTCTCTCCAATCCTGGTGTTCGCCCAGGCAGAGCACACCACTGGCACAGTCAGTACAAAATTGCTGCCTGCCTTCAGCTGCCAGCGAAGCTATGTACATGCTGTCAGCTGCTTGGGTTAGGTTGTCAGGCTGTATCCATGTCCGGCTGCTGGAAGCATCAAATGCAGCAGCTGGCAGGATGTTGTTTCAAGCTAGGATCTGCAAGCCACATCGATCAATGAAAGCTTGCCGCACACAAAAACCCTTGATGCAGGCAACTGGTCCAGCGAAATGTCTCGCACTTCCAGTGGCGACTCTTACGAGAAGAAGCCTTGAGCTCGGCCATGCATCGAAAGTGTTGTTTGACCTGACAACCCCAGTCTTTCCTCGGATGCCAGGAGGACCGAGGAAGCGCAGCGCGTGCTGAAGGCTCCTTTCTTCAAGTCCTGGGAGGACGCCTTGTCCCGCCGCAGCTAGCTTCGGGTATTCAGGCTTGTTATTGGTTCCTAAGCAGTTGCGCGGCAGATGTTGGCGCGCATGCTAACAAACCAAGACATCTACAATTTACCAAATATCATGTGTATACAAATTGCCAGTATGTTTTCTGCAGGACTTCATGGAGTTCGACAACAACTACAAGCACAAGTGCTTTGCCGTGCAAGTTGCAGAACCAAAAAGAATCATGAAGACTTAGTTGGCATGCTGGCTAGGCTGCATGCGACAGCAGTGAGATTCACAAGCACAGATGCAGTTTGAAAGCAGGGAACCGCGGGAGAGTTTCTGAAATTGCTGTGGTGATGGAGCATGCTGGAGCTATGCACTTGGAAGAAGCTAAGGATCCCAATCACGCAAAGTGAGTGCTAGCCTGAGTACCTTTGCAGCCAGAATGGTGGAATCTCCATGCGAGGCGACGACGGAACGATCAAGCTTGGAATTCTGCTTGGTTGAGCTACAATCTAAATCCCCTGAATCACCCCAATAATACTCCCCTATATAATCCTCTACAATATAACCCCAGAAGCAGCTCAGCTTGTTTCGGCTTCCGAGTTTCTCGCTACTGCTCGAGAAGGAGTCGCAGGGAATGCAAGGCGCACCGGTGATGGGTTGAGCCTTGAGATTGTTCTTTTCACGTCCTGGGGGTTCCTACTGGTGCTCAAGGGAGAGCGGGGGAGTGGATCCCTTTATAATCCCTTTATAATCCCCGTATAATCCCCAGGTATACCTCTAAAATGGTACCCATATTCATTTCCCCACTCCCCCTCTTAAGCAGCAGTAGGAATTCTGCGAGCGGGGCACGTCAACGGATGGCAGAGTATCGTTCATGTTGAACTTCGCCATGGTGTAGAAGTAAGGATGACTCAACCTGCTTTCCAGGTTGGGATATGTGCGTCGATCGCAAGGAGATCAAGGTTGCCAAGGCTGCAACAACAAAAAACCTACATAGTCCCAATTTCCATTTCATGCTCCATTTGCTTTCCATTTGATTCTGCATTATTCCCATATACCCCTATGTGACCAACCATGGGAATCATGGAAGTGGACTGCAACCTGGGCTCGAGGTTGGGATTGATTGAAGGCGCATGGTTTTTAGGCAGATATTGTGCCAGGGCAAAGCTGGCAATGAAATCATAATCAAATTTGCAACTAGCACCAAAAAATGAGTCCTTGTTGCAAGATGATTCTGGGTCGTCACCAGACACAACACAGGCTCCAGGGCCGGGCCCATCAGGGGTACCTATATCAGGCTACCTGATGAGGAAACTAGGGTGCATTGGAGTCCCCCTGTTTATGGAAACTACAGTACCATTTGATAACGCCGTTGCCCTCGGGCTTGCGGCGCCTGTCGGATGAATCTTGCTGCTTGGGCTGAATGATTTGGCCTGCAAACGGTCCTCCCCTGTGGCCCGCAGACTCTTCAGTCGGATGGCAGCGGCTGCATTTTCCTACGAGTCACGGACTTCAGCAGCTTCAGCTTCTTGCGAGCTCCAGCTGTAGAGACTGTTCAAATGCCAGAAAGTTCTGGTCTGCGTCGCCTCAGGCGTGGTCCTCCCTGCCTGATGTCGACTTGCCGGTCGTCTTCCACATGTTTTACAAGTGCGAAAAGCGCATGGAGTGACCCCGCTGCAACTGGTCTAGCACAAGACGGTGTAAGTGCTGCCTAGATCATTCAGCACGCGGTGATGCTCCAAGGTGGGACCGAGCGTTCTTCGAGATGAAAACCCTTGACCAAATAGAGGCTGCGAGCGAAGATAATTAGCGGTGGCAAGTTATGATATTGTAGCATTGAAGCATATTGAAGCCCTTCCAGGGATCGGACATCCTGTACAGCGTGTTGCGGGTGCCGGCAGTCAGGGCCTCAGTTTATGAAGTGCTGGCCATGCCACTGAAGAGTCTACTCATCCACGACCACCTGCGTTTGAGTCGTATGACATGTGGCAGACTTTATTGTTGGCGAAGATTGGGAATCACATCGCATCCTGCCAAGTGTACGCCCCGTGACTACGTGCAGTACCGGCGGGTCAAGGTCTTGGAGGAGAGCTGAAGTGGTCGTCTTTAGCACCCTTTGGGAACCTTCGCGCATCGCTGCACAAACCGCAGGATGGCACTGTCCTCATCAGTCTGCGCTCAGCCAACCACCCTGATATGCCTGAGAAGAGTGGGCCGCAAACTCAGCACCACCCAGGATTCGCGGCATTGTGAGAACCCTGGAATATGCAGATCTTATGTGTGAACATGTCTCAACAGCTTCAGCCGGGACAGGGGTTCACCAGCCCCGCTTGGGGGTGGAAGTTTGGAGTTATTTGGGATTATCTTGAGCATGGCCCCATGATGCTCCATCCTGGTCTGCGGCTTGGTTGTCTGCCTTAGGAGGATGGAAAGCACCAGAAGTTGTGGCGCTGAGATTCTGGCTGTTTGAGGTACATCCGTGCAGAGTCCTTCACCTCTGGTTACGTCATGCGCCGGTACAATGATGGGTGCTGCTCTCAGGGCTTGGAATTCTGAGGATGGAACGCTTTGACCCTCAACGAAAGCTATGGTATCTCTACACACTACACGGCATCCTTCTCCACCACTTGGCTGTGTCAGCGCAAGCTGTCAACACGAGTATGTCTAGCCCTGCACGGCCTTTCGATCCAGGAAGGAGAAGGGCACCAAAGTCTTTTTGATGACGTGCACCGATGTAAAGGCCGGATGTCAGCATGACCTGGCACGGTGGGTCTGCCAACAATCCGTGTAGACAGCGGTCACTCAGAAATCCTTTGTTTACCACCCCGCATTAGGTTATCCCCCCCAAACTTCATCAACTTCACCCTGCCTAGCACAGACCATAATCGCTTCAGTCGTTGGCCACAGCCCCTCCAGCCCAAGCTAAGTAAAGCCAGGGCATCATCCCAAAATGGATGATTAACTTCGTGGCTCCGCGGAAGCCGGGCGAGTGGATTGACTGCCTGAAGAAGGCGTGATCAGCTGTCGCTTATCGTCTGCCATTGATGTAGCTGGGTTCTTGTGGCTGAACGCTGGGTGTAGCATGATTTTGTTTGTAGCAGCTTCAATCAGGCGAGAGGCTGGCAGACAGAGAACAGAGCGGCAATGGGAGCAGTGCGAAAGCCTTTTTTCCTTGAGGCGTGCCTGGACTATCAAGCAGCCAATCCAGACTATCCGGCCCTTGAAGAGGCACGCCTGATCCTGTCAAGTTTTTCTGCCAACCCACCTGGCGTTTTATGGTAATTAGGATCAATGCCTCCGGCCTTGTATCCTTTAGCCCGACAGGAGCTGGAGCCATTCAAGCAAAATCATCCTTTCGACTACGAGGACTTGTTCGGGCTCATGATGATGCCATTTTGCAGTTGTCAAAAAAGACTTGAGTGAGGCTTGAGTTGAAGTTCAGATTCCATTCCTATCCAGCCTGGTTACAATCTGCCATCCCGTGTCGGCAGCAGGAAGTGAACGCTGCCAGCTTGGAGGCTGACCCTGCGACGGGTCGCAAACAATCTCCAGCCAGCCTGGCTCAGTTTTGCCGAAGGTAAACAATGTCGTCTTGATTTGAACAGGTTTCTTCGCTGCAGGTGTGCAATTTCAGGACAGATCTCACAAACAATTTTTGGGCAGGGGAGCCCAAAGGATCTGCATGTCCAGAGTGTAGCATGAGTAGCACCAGTTGGGCGCCAAACAAAATGGCTGGGGCTCCAAGCTGCAATCAGGTCCAATGAGCCACAATCAGGCCCAGCTCGCAACCTTACGTCATCGTAAACCGCCCGAAGGGTTTCTTTGCTTAAGGAAGCACAGAAGTATGATGCAAGGTCTCCCAAAAACATCTATAAGCTGGAAACACCCCCAAGCCTTGAACCATCGACCAGCCATAGCCTGCAACATGCAAAACGGGACCCTTCTGTCGCAGCCTGCCAGACTTGGGTGACTCTCTGACCAGCCGGAGAGTTGCACACCGCGGTTCACTGCCTACGGCCAGGCCAAAAAGCATCATCAAAAAGGTATCATGAACCGGTAAGAGAGCCGCAGCAGGAGGAGGGGGAGTAGTAAAGTCGTGGCTTGGTGGTAGTGGTAGTAGTGGTAGTAGGAGGATTGGCATTACTAGTAGTACCAGCAAGTAGTCATGGTCGTAGTTGTCAGCAGCAGAAGAAGGAGGAGCAGGTGGAGTATGAGTGCGAGGAGCACAGCCATGGAACAGTAAACAGTATATAGCTGTAGTGATAGCGGTGGTAGTGGTAGCTGAGAGTTCTGTGTATCCCTCTGGTAGTTCAGTACTGTGAGCATATCTAGGTCTGAGAAGGCAGGTGTCCAGCGATTGCAGGACAAGTCCTTGTACAGGAAGCTTTTCCCCTGCTTTGCTTGCAAGGTTGATTTTTGCCCAAAGGTTTCACCACCAAGCATGTCGAAGACATGGTACCTGACACTAAAAGATGTGGTGTCGATCCCGTCCAAGTTTTGAAGTTTGAATATTTCAGGGTCCTTACCCTGGCAACTTGCCCTGGAAACTCATTGCCGTACCAAGCATGCACGTTGACAAGTCCTGCTTTGGACGAAGTCACCATTGATGAGCTAGTCTTGAGGCATTTGCCAGGCACCTGCAGGGGTCTTTTTGCTTAGATTCGCAGAGCTGTGTGAATGGCCCCAGTTGCGTCGATGTCTGCTGGCATCTTTTCGCACACCATTTGAGACGGTTTTTCTTTCATCAATGAATGAATGCCTTCCAGAAACCACATCGTAAGTCCTCCGAGGTTAAGAATCAGCAATCTAGCTTGAATAACTTCAAATCATTCAATAATGTCAATATTCTGAGCTGTGTTCATTTTGGCTTGTTAAACGTTATTGATATTCTCAGCGCGTTGGACGTTCACTGCCACCAGTCCCCAGTCCCCAGCTTTTGTCACTTGTCAGACCCTGCCACCTGCAGCTAAGGCAGTGTAGCTACTGTACTCGCGTGTAAGCAGCAGCAAAAGGCTTGTACTTGTAAGCTTAGTCCAGGGCTTTCATCTGTGTTGCTCCAACATGGTGCAAGAAGAAAAGCTGTTACGCAAGCTCTGGGACCAGCCCCGCATGCTCTGAGCCCAACCCCCCCCCCGTCTGCAGGGCACATGCCGCAAGGAGCCGGAAGAAGAAGAAGGATTCCCAGACTAGCTGTTCATGGATGTATGATGGGGTCTCCATGTGCTACAGGGGGACTATGAAGCAGCATACAGTAGCTGGTTTATTACGCATGAGACCGTCGTAAGAGTGGTAGGAGGTAGCGTGGTAGGGGGGAGACGATGATGCGGCGGCCGCGCGGTGGCAGCACAAAAACAGGGTGCAACTACACAACCACGAACAAGCATCAAGGTCCACTAAGGTGATATGATATCATGGACAATGAAATGCATGGTGGTTGTTTGTTCATGGTCACACTCTGCTAGAGTAGAGGATGTTTACCACCTAGAACAGTTGGCATTGGATGACGGGAGGAGAGTGGCCAGGCAGAAAGGCAGGGGATGAGCAGCAGAGCTATCAGGATGGTGCCTAGGGATGCCTAGGGTGCCAGTTGCAATGGTCGCCGAAGAAGAAATGGCAGCAGCATTAACCATGATTCATACTATCGCAAGAATGGTGAGAGATTACGGTGGCCGAATGTGGCCGCGCCAAATCATGTGCTACCAGAGCGTGACTCTGAAGATGACGATCGCGGCATAACCCTGGCCAAAACTGCCAGACAAATCAAGACTGCAGTTAGTCTGAGTCTAAGCAGAAGTCATTTGCTTTCGAAAGCCTGTCGGTGTAGTTCGTATTAACCGTAGCTGGTCGAGAGAGCAAAACAACATTGTTGCCACTCGCCACTCGGGCGGATGGTAATGGGTCGATACAACAGGATTTATGATGATATGGGTGGCGGCACCCCGTGGCAACAAGACATAACAAACTTCACGGTGGTTCGGGTTGTAGTCGTTGCGGTGCATGTCATTGCAATGGAGCGGTAGGGCTGCAGACGACAGCAATGTCGCTGACGGTAACACGAGGAGGAAGAGGATGGGAGGGAGGAGGAGTCCTAGTTGGAGGAGCGTCAGCAGCTGTAGCAGAACAGTGATGGCAAAGGTGATGAGGGTGGTGGATGCGCTGTTGACTCCTGTTGCTGTTGGGCTTGCTTTGAGTCAACCATTGGTTCTATGACGCTCGACGAGCCAAGATTGTTCCTTGCGGACGTCCAACGGGGAAGCAGTCCGCGATAAGCGGACAACATTTCGAACAGTCAGGTCCGGGAAGGCACTGGCGGCATAGCAGCGCAAATCCCACCAGAGGATGCAAATGCATAGGAGCCAAGCGCTGCTTATTGAGGATTGTCCCATCAACGAGTAGAAGAGTACAGTGGATACCACCTCAATGACCTTTTGCCTTGAATTGGACGTAGCGTATCTTCATCTGTAGTTGAATTTCCAGATTGATGAGCGACGTAGTCGTAGGTCTTGGGGCAAAGTTTGAAGCTTGCGCTCTGAATAATATATAGATCATGGGCATTGCCCATACCTTGACCATGCGTGTTTTGAAGAAAATGAACTGCTAGCTCACGTGAGCACCGGCTCTGACTAGGTGCTGTCGCTTGCATTTTTTTCGCATGTAAACACAGGAGCGCTGCCTAATTGGATTCTTGGACTGGAGCAAAGCCTTTCTCAATGCCTCGCCGCAGTGGTGTTGCAAAGTCTCTCAGCTCTGCCTCCTTCCCGCGACACAAGCGGCACCAACAAAGGCCTTCCGAAGCTTCGGGTAATTGTTCACGCTGGCTTGGGCTCGTGGATAATGCAAGGTTTTCAGTGTAGACTGTTCCGCAGTGCTGAGGCCATGGCTGACGAGGAGGCAGGGCGTTGCGTGTCTCACGTCTCATCGCCCCTAAAAGCGGAGCCCTTTTTTAATGCCGGAACTAGTGTTGTTGACATATGCAACTTGCCACTCCTTCTTGTTGGGCTTGGTTTTACCTTTGTTTTTCATGTCCTACCCAGCACGTTATGTTAAAAGAACCGGAGTAAGTTGTCTTACCAGGCTACCAGCAGACACCACGACTCTGGGGGAGTGGGCCGTGACGGCCGGTGAATCATCACCGCCCCCTTAGCCAAAGCCAAAAGCCAAAACCCTAGCAATAGATCTGCACGCTGTTTGTGTGGAGTGAGTTAAGTAGGTGTTGTTGGCAGATGGGAGAGGGAACATGGGAGCCACGTGTTGCAAGTCAAGCCTCGGTGTAGAGCTCGCGTAACCGCCAATCGTGCGGCGAGATGGGACCCGGGAGGCCAAGAAATCCCGCTGATATCATTGCCAGTTCACTATGAAGGGGCTAGTCCTCTGAGGAGGTTCAGTCCATGATGAATGATGGTCGGGGGAGTAAGCCTTTTTCACAGGAAGAGCCCAATCAATCAATCTCCTGCCATGAGTACATTGCGCGGTGTTTATGCGCTCCTCTTGGGCAATTCTTATTCGCGGTACCCGAACCTCGCTGGTACCCGACTGGACAGCGAACCTGTGCGCGGCAATGGGTCGTAGCCCCAGCCAGCTCCTCCGCGGGCAGCATAGCCAGTAGAAGAAGAAGAAGACCCTACACTGCGCAAAGAGTGTTGGGGAACAAGTACGTTCACGTATTACCATGTTGATATGTTGCCAACCCTAAACCTTAAATGAAGTCGAAAGGAAAGACCCTCCACTCAGCCAGCGTGAAGCTCATGGGCCCTCGGACGAGGTGAACTAAGGATTACCCCACGCGAATTATAGTGAAGTTACATCAAAAGGTCTTTCTGAAAGCTGGCATCCCCCGTGATGTACTACAGGCCCCAATAAGTTGTGTTATGGGTGTCCTGCAGCCAGCATCCATGGGGTCAAACGAAGTAAGCAAAGCTCAACAGGGGCAGGGGGAAGTCGCTGGGGGCAGCCTGGAGCTCTCCCGCAGCACCCGAAAGCCAGAGAGAGAGAGAGAGAGACAGAGCTCGTAAATGGGGATTGGTGAATCCTGTGTTTGAAAACGTCCCAGGTGTCAAGAAAACGCGGGGGAGAGAAACGAAGTTAACCACCTCGAGGTCCTGCCAATAACACAGTACGTTGGGAATAGTGGAGCTTCGGTGCATAAGCAGGGAATTTAGTGATCTGTAAAGTACGAGTGCAGAGTCGTGTCGAGTGGCAACCAGCTGATATGCACCCCAGACCCACAAAAGCCCTGAATGGCCTCATCAAATGCATGGGGAAGGGCCGACTTTTCACACCCCAGTTGAGCAGGGAATGTAGTCACTTGGGAATGGAGGATGAGGCAAGTACTGGGCACTGGAAGTTTATTGTTTGCATTGACCTTCATCTTCGTTCCCAGCGATTGCTGTTCCACCTCCTGGGTACCGACCCTCGGATGTGCGCTTGGGCTCGGGGTTCACCCCGGCAAGACCTCCGGGTCTTGTATAGCCTGTAGAAGAAGAAGAAGAAGAGAGAGCTCAAAAACTGTTCAATCGCGCAAGCTGTTTGCCCAAATCCTTACCCCAGAGAGCAACGCACCAGAAAATTCCAGTTTCACACAACAAGGCCACCGTGCAAACAACGTAGAATAGCTAGCCCACAGGATCATTACCAGTATGGTTGCCAGCTAATACTCACTTGGCCAACTAGTTTCGCAAAGTCCTCCCACCACACCAAAGGTAAACCTACCTGGTCCCCCAACGCTGCTTATACGTGCTTTAGTCACTCGTGGAGGCACAACAGTGATGAACCAATCACAAGAAACTCCACAATCAACCTATATAGTGTGTAGGTCCCCAAAATCCTGAACATCATTGTGGAGTAGAGGGGTGTAGTCCACAATGGCCCCACACGGGCTGGGCAGGAGCCCGGGATGGCTTTCTTGGCCATCCCATAGCCGGAACTAAAGAAAAAAAGAAAGAGACCTCATAGGATCTAGTTGGTCAGGGAGGCTCCCAAGTGATGCACAAATCACGCACAACTCCACACATGCCATTAGCACCTAATATGCCACCTAGAGGTCCCTTTTGCTTGAAGATTGGCACGCGTGGGGTCTAGAGGGGTGTGGTCCAGAGAAGCCCAACACGGACTGGGCAGGAGCCCGGGATGGCTTCCCAGCCATCCCATAGCCCGAAAGAAAGAAAGAAAGACCTCATAGTTACCTGTCAATATCAAGTTGCTGGTTTAATATGTGTGTAAGAAAGGGAAGATTGGCATGACACTCTTGGAGCCTTCACATAGATTGGGTCACCTCCCCTAATGACAAGTATAAGGTAAAACAACCAACTATGCGAGGCCGCGAGGGGTGATACGTTCCTAGCAGCCCAACAGGGGCTGGGCAGAGAGGCCCGGGGGAGGTCTTAGGACCTTCCCCTTAGCCCGAATGAAAGAAAGAAAGAACGAGAGAGAGAGAGACTCGCTTGCACCGACCGGAGCTACCGGACATGCACGCGGCTTCAGGGCGTAGCCCTGGCTCACTCCTCCGAAAAGGCATAGCCACTAGAAGAAGAGACTCAGATTTGTTCAACTCCCATCAGCTTTAGATTGTTTGATCGCAAGGCGGCCGAGGTGCCGCCAGAGCCAGTGCCTCCTCTGACAGTCGCTTGTCAGCAAGTTGCTGCAATGCTTACTTGGCTGGGGAGCTCACTGTTCTTCCCTAACACCGGAGGTGGAGATTGTTCACGTTCTAGGTCCACATAGTGGATGCTGATAACGCTTGGCGACAGTCAAAAGCATGCAGAAGCGCAACGTGCCATATCTCGTCGCACCCATCACTGTGGAGCTGAGGTTCTACTTTTTGTCACATGAGCATGAGAAGCATCTACAGTACATTTTGCAGCAGATAATCTTGAATACTATAACCTAGACTAAGTTTCAGGAGAAGCTATTGTAAATTCTACAGTGAATATGTTTGTTGAAGTAAGTGATCCGTACTGGAAATTGAATGCATGCCAACTTGACAGTGACGGACAATGCACAACGACCCAGGCAGAGGAGCTAGAAGCGCGAGCCATAATTTTTGAGGACATCTTCAAGGACTATCCAGCGCTGGAGGCGGATTTCAGACAAAGCATTTTCAGCATGCCTAGTAGCACGCAGCTACGCGCGAGTAGGTTAGCATGTGTCGAAGCGCGATCCTTGTCTCTAACACTTGGACCCCACACAAAGGTTTCGAGCCCCTAGAATGCAACGCCTTAGGTATTGTCATCCTGACATACTCCTTGCAGACCCCCTGGCACGGACGGGAGGTAAAGCAGAAGTCCATGGCGGAGCGGAAAGAAAAGGAGGCAGTCTTGCCAACTGAATAATCATTGGTTATGAGCAGGGCTTGGTCTCACCCAGCACGGCATACCACGGCTATGGAGTCATGTTCAGCATTTGTTGTCTGCATAGTCTCTACTTGCTCTGCTCGTTTGCACTACTGCTTGTATGTCCTTTGTTGTTATTTGATGTTATCAGCTTACAGATTGCAAGTGGTATTCCAGGAATGTTAAGGTGGAGCGGGGAAATGCGGAACCAAGGGTTCTCGTATTGGGTTGTTTTCAGGGCAAGCACCGCCTCTAAGAGTCCTCGCCCCGCACGGCACAGACAGCATGCAAGCACGGAGTTCGGCAGCAGCTCTGACATTTGGCGAAAGCCACAGGTTTCGAATCCTTATATACCCCATATAACCCCTACATAATATAATGTAACATACTATATCATACCATAATATATTATATGTACTATAATATACTATATCGTACTATAATATGCTATAGTATATTCAAATATACTATAATATACCGCGTTCACGTGTCTGAGCGACAGGCGCCACCACCTCGCGAGGAAGGCGATGAAGATGCGCCGGAGGTCGTTGAGGTGTCATACTCTGTTTGCTCTTGGGCTTATAGTTTAGTATACTATAGTATCCGCCAAGAGTGCCGCAGCAGCTATGATGCGGTATCAGTTTCCAAAGGCATGTTGCAGGGGTGCTGGGCATACAATTGCTTGATATTTGGAGTCTTCCTCAATCATGCGACACGCGGCCGCACTTGGTTGGTATGCGATCTTCCATGGTGCGGTTGTCTGCCGTCCAAACGTAGAAATGGGGTTTTCTCAACATTAGGTGTACCTTTTGGAGGTCCACATAACAGAGAATGTAGTCTATGGGGGTCTTTGTCGGGGTCCCCCCATTTTGGGCAATTACCAAATGATGGCTGTAGGTAGATGCTACTAACAGAAGAAGCAGAGAGGTTTGCAGAGCTTGGTTGGTGCTTTGCTTTTGCTTTGCACCAGGCCCCTGAGCCAAACATTGCTCTGGCGTATAGCGAGCTGAACTTCTCGGTTGTCACTTGGCAGCTTGTTTCAGAGCCTGCCCACAGTCGCTAGTCGCTAAGTCGGCCCATGATGTGGGAGACTCTATAGAATTAGGAGGTTTGGAGACTTGGGACAAAAAAGCAGAGAACCGAACATGATGGGCCGATGCCTCAGATGGATAGCTTCGTCAACTTCGTGAAGGAGAAGTGCGGGCCGCTTTTCCCAAACCAAGGCGGGAGGATCTTCGTCCCAGCATTGTAGTCTGCCTTGCAACGGCTTCCTGCGTGCTGAACCCACTGCAAAGACTCCGTGAAATGGCTCAAGAAACCTCCCACGCCTGGAGGACAACGCCCTGCCCCAGACACGACCCTTCAGACACGAGAGTTGAGCATCCGCAATGGGCTGCTGAGGGCCAAAGAAAGGCAAATACTCGAAGCATGTAAGGGAGCAGGCGCGGCAACGTCAGGCACTGAATGCAGCCGCTCGCGCACCGAGCGCAAGGCAATCTCGAACTCGAATTTCGGAGAAGGAACCCCTTCGCTCGGCGAGTGTGCCGCCGAAAACGTAGCAAGGAGGAGTTTTCAGTTAAGCCACAGCAAGCTGGTGGGAACCGCCAATTGCGAGAGGTGTCGATGAGAGCGCGGCCGCCATCCTCCTCGTCCGTTTGTGTAGTGATGTAGCTTGCACGGAGGCAGTGTTCCACGTGCGTGGAATTGCCTCTTTCGACTGCTGAAGCGTCACTATGACAGGCAACTGCTGGCAATCAGGCTTATGCCATTTCCCTGAGCAGGCGAATGACAGCAATGCCTTTTTGGGTGTTGCTTGATGGCCTGTGGGATGGGCTCTGTACAGAAATGGAAAAACATGCTGTCTTAACAATGGCATGTCCGCAAGGGTGTGATGCAATGCTGTGGCTGCCTTGTGTTGATATAGGAGCCGGGAGTGTAGATGCATGTTAACAATGTTGATGTGTGTCTGTGTTTGCAAGCTGTGATGCTCTCGCACACTAATCACGAGACCTGGCCCCACAAAGTTTTGTCTCAGTAAACCCGGCGCCTCAGAAGCTTGTGGAACTGGTTACTGGTAAGGGGCCCTTGAGACAGGCGTCTTCCTGGATTTGGGCAGCGGCGTCGGGAAGAACTGCTTAGCGGCAGCACTGCTCCATCCCTTCCAGAAGGCCGGCTGAGATTTCATCCAGGGTTGTCACATTGCAAACGTCGAGCACTGGCGCTGTGTTTGCTGTGTGTGCCTTCAGATCATTGGCGTCGAAGCGCTTCAGAGCCTTAACGACGTGGAGACGGCAGTGCAGGCGAAGTTTGCAGAGGCCTTTGCACTGGGGGCTGACTTGATGCTCCCTGCCATTGAAACTTGAGACACAAGGCAGTTGTCGACTTGTACAGGATAGAGGAGGGTAATCTCCCAGCTCCACAGCAGACCGTAGCTGGACTTTGACAGCTGGTGTCAGGTAGAACTTCCCGAGGGCATGACCAAGCCAGAGCTGAGCTTCGTGAAGGGCACCAGCCTTACAGGGATAACCTCATCACTATTCTGAGGTCTGCGCTTGGAAACTCCCTGAGACTTGCGTGTGTCCCCAGGCGACTTCGTAGCAGAGTTCGACTCGGTCTTGGAGACCATTGCGCCTGAGGCAGGGCATCCGTAGATTCGTCTTTTCAGAAAGCTTAACAACTCAGCTGCACCGGAATCAGCTACATACCAGGTGACATTTGCTGTGGTGGTTGCCACCACTTTTGGAGACCCGGAGATGCAAGCAGTGGCCAAGCTCGCGCAGAAGATGCCGGAAGGCCTCGCTATGCCTCGCTCGGACACGGCGCTAGGAATTCCAGCTGCGAATCATGCCCAGATTGGGTTGGTTTCTTACAAATTTCAGTAAGCACGTGCATGATGTTGGTACATCGTTCGGCACAAGTCATGACGATCATGATGCAGTGCGTGGCAGGCGCGTCTCTCGTCACAGTGACACAGAAGTTGGAGGACTCTCTTGTCGTTGACGCAGGGAGCTCAAGGGGAGTCCGCAAAACGGTCAGTTCAGATTCTGGGCTTGCTGTAGATGTTGTTGAGATGCCATGGTCATCAGTGGCCATTGGCGGCATTACGCCATATCAGCTTAGCCCTCTTCCGGCCAGGGCAAGTAATCAAACATAGCACAAAATCTGCATTGAGGGCTCCAGGTGTTCCAGTGTTAGTGGCAAACGGTTTCGTACAGTGTAGATGGACATCCAGGCACAGCGATCCCAACAAGATGCAATTCCTGCTAGCATCTGCACATGCCGTTCAAACTGATTCAGCTGGACCCTTTGCCACTACGAGTCACCAGTCTACTAGTGCTCTCAGTACGTAGCACTCTTCTGTGTAAACGCGTGTGGATGTCACGCGAAATCACGATGTCCGATAACACGAAGATTGGCATGGGTACTGGTATGACTGCAGCTGCATTCTTACAGCATCGTTCAATGCCACCACACTTTTGGAACTCATTGCTCACACGCTGAGGTGAACCGGGAGCCGCGGAAGCGCCGGGCTCTGGCGACGAGAAAGGCGCTGGCGCAGCGCGGAGTGGAGCCAAAAGGCCCCAGTCGGGCCTTTGAAAGGCTTTGTGGTTTCCCCCCTAGGTGGCAAAGACTGGTCTGAAAATCCTAGCAAAGATTACCGCTTGGGGGTACACGGGCATGGGTGTCTGTGCTAGTGCTGGACAATATCTTGCAGGCATTGTAAGAACACAGGCTTCAGGTTGCAGAGTTCAGGATTTGGGGTTGGGGAGGTTCTCGGGGTTGGAGTTTGGAGCTTTTGGGTTTAGGGTTCAGGATCTTACAGGGATATGTACTGTAGGGCTCCGGGGTCTAGAGGATAGAGCGCTTTCAAGATCTTTCAGGCTAGTATGCCAACGTAGGGATGTTGTCTTCAAGTTTAATGACATCTTCTAGAGGTTGTGCCATGTCAGGATGGGTTTTGCGTGGAGATCATGCAGGAGAGATGATAGTTCAGAATCTGAGGCTTTGGTTTCAGGCTTAGTGGGCGGGCCTTGAGACCAATACTGAAACTTAAGAGTCGACCGCCTGATGTGTGTGCGTATTCCCGCGGCCAAAAATCCTAGAAAATCGTTTGCCAAGCGGATTGTGTGTCACAACAATCAATGGCACCTGTCAGGCATTGAGATAGAGCTGGAACCTGCTGAGAACGACCCGAACGGCTGGAGGCTGCTTCGAGTAAGACAGGTGGCGTGTCGACTGGCTGTCGCGTTGGCTATTCGTGTGTTGCCCGCAAGCCAAGCATAGTGGACACAGAGGCATGTCGAAATCAAACACCAAGCAGCATGTGTGGAGCTTTTGAAAGAGGAGACGGCCAACTGAACGCTTGTGAACAGCCAATGCTTCGAGCATTCAAGACTCTCTTCTCTTTAGATTCCAAGGTTAAAGCACTCGGACTCGGTGGAGCTGGAATGGGGCACTACATCCTGCCGAGCTGCTGCAAATACTATGCAAACGCCGATGATTTTCTTTGTAGTGCGTGCAGAAGGTTCGTAGTCACAGGGATGATAGAAGCCAAGTAGTCGCAGCCAAGGTTACTTGTACAAGAAGTACACCTACCCCTTCTGCGACGCCGCGGCCTTAGCCAGTGTGTGAAGTGGCTCCAGCCTGTGCTCGTGTCATCTTCATGATACTCGCTTGTTATTGTTGTGATTATTATGCTTATTGTCATTATTGTTATTCTTATTTCGTTGCGTTATTATTGCGAAATTATATAGTATTGTTATTACGTTATTTGTAACATTATATTACATAATATTACCATTATTGTCCTTCTCATTTCGGTTTCCCCTGCTGAAAAAACTTCCGTCACGTTGCCCCGGATGCAGGGGGGCCCAGAAGCTTTCACAGGTTCATTGCCATCATTAACAACCACATAAGTGCTTGCATGTGTATGCACGAGGTGGGTGACATCTGCATGGCTGCGCCACTTCCTGAAGTTGAGGACACACTTCATGTCAGCCACGCATGTGAGGGGCATTTGGCCTCAAGGGCGCCAGGCTATCCCCAAACCGCCGCGTCAAACAGCTCTTGGCACGAGCGCTCGGGGGTATCCATACACATACCTTTCCTTTGTAAACATGGGCAATGCCAAATGCAGGACCAGACCGTGGCTCCAGCCTACTACGTCGGACCTACAACTGTCAGGACAGAATTGCGTGGAAATTCATGATAAGTTTCTGCATTGGGGGCTTGAGTGTCTCTGTGACTTGTGCCCCAGATAAGGGAGTCCTCAGGTATCCAGATTGTAGCAAGCACTGAAAGAGCATACTATAATACTATAACACTACAATACTAAAAAACCATAACACTACAATACTGTAATACTGTACTGCTATAATGCTATAACACTACAATACTATGCTACTAGAACACTACAATACTATCCCTGTGAAGGTATATGGATGACCTGGCCGAGAAGGCCGTTGAGGTCAGCAAGGTCTACCCGTTCTGCGAGGATGGGAGCAACAAGAGCAACAAGCAGCCAGTACTTGTGGAATTGTGGCAGTGGCTGTTGTCGAAAAAAGTGTCACATGGTAGTTTTCCAAAATAAGGGGACCCTAATACAGACCACAAAATACTATAATCCTTATTATGTGGACCCCCAATTCGGTACCCCTAATTATTTTGGGAAACCCTAAATGCGAGACGAGCTCTATTGGACTGGGGACAGGGTTGCTCTCACAGGCCCCCAAGTTCGGTTTTCCACCGCACCAGCGCTCTCATCTTTGTCAGCGCTTTGCAAATTGGGCAGCTGCACCCAACTTCCGCCAGTGCCGATGGCATGTGAACAACCTCAACCCCTGTCACTCACTGTTCAAGCTGGAAGACGGCCACGCCAGAAACTGTTGTTGCTTCGTTTGAACTTCGATTCTAATCCCGAAGAGGGCCATCCATGGCTGCGATCCCCGAGGTTGTCACAGTTGAGGCCCGAAGGCTGCGATTCCTGAGACTTTGGTCAGACCTTGCGACAATCATTTGTCACGCGCTGGTTGGGTGGCAGTGAGTGCAGCAAGCATTTTTCTCGAAGTGCCAGTGAAGGAAATGGGTGGTCTTGGGTGCGGTGGCGGGCTATGCTTCATCATGAGGATAAGGGTTACGCTGGGTGTCCGCGTAAAAGCCGCTGAACGAATTCGGGCGAGAGTAGCAAATTTATGGTTGATCTTCACGTGACCTGCTAAACCAAAGCTTCTAGAAGCATTTGAAGCTTGCTGCTTTTTCTTGATTGTGTCAAAAACCCTTGAAACGCAACAGGAGGGTTGTGGGCTTTAACCAGGTCTTTGCTTCGCGCTAGTTGCCAATTGCTGGTGGGGCAGGAGAGCCGAAAGAAGGCGGTAAAGCTGTATCTTCAGCTGCTAGGCATGCACACAAGTAGCCCCAACCGCACACCCCTGAGCCTTGAATTCAGGGCATAGCAAGTTCCAAGAATGCTTCACCCAGAGACAGATTGCCCCTGGTCGTATGCTAAGGAAGGTGGAGGCAGAGAAAGCCAAGGCGCTCAAGCTGCACACTCCAAGAAGAAACTCTGGAAGGGGCATTCCAGGGCTTAGCATGACTTCCAAGCCCTATGCATCTCTTCACAACCGATCATGCTTCCAATATTGCCTGTGAGGCTGCCCAGGGCGACGAACTTGTGGCCCAAGCAGTGGCCAAAATTAGGCAGGCAAGCTACGTCATATATGTTGAGAAGTGGTCGGGGGCTGATCAGTCAAGATGCCGGTGTGAAAATGAGGATCGCTAAGCAGACACACGTCGTGCCCCGCTGAAGAAAGCTTTTTCAAATGTCAGCTTGTCAGGGAGGAGAAGGAGACCTTTGCGCAAGATGGCAAGGTGCCCTACAAGCTGGACGAGGCCGAGCTGTTAAGATTGCCAGCCATGTGTGGCTGCACCTAAGCTTAAGCCTGCTGTAACACCATAGCTGATGCTTGCAGGATCAGTCGTTGGGGAGGGGGCAGTATGAAAAATGCCTGCAGTCGCCGCTGCATTGGGATATTTGTGCCCTTCCGCCATGAAAGACCCCCAGGCTCACACCTTGGACTTGAGATCATTCTTGAAGGAAGATTCTCTTTACTCTGCATGATCTGCAAAGCCAATTCCAAACGCCAAAGCCAGCTTTGGAAGAGAGCGACAGTACCGACAGACTTTTTTGAAAGAAGTCGAAATGATTCGCTCGGTTCTGACTGGCCTGTGCTGCTGATGTCAGATGCGTTCCTGAATTTATAGACAGCTGATACGGCGAAGTTGTGGGGAAACAATCAGCGCACATGCCCTTCCAAACACTCAATTTGGCCTGAAGTGTTTTTGCAGCAGCTTGGAGTTGGAAGGCTCGACCTGCCATCTCAAAAGCTAGTGTAGCGCGCTGCAAGACACGACTTGCAGCAGGGATCTGACACGCTGGCAATGCTGTCGAATCTGCTCCTTAGCTGCAGAAGCCATGGAACCATACGCAGCCTTTCTACCAGAAATTCCTGAATTGGTCTGAGCAGCGTGCCGTGGGGATGTGCAGGAGCAACTTGCAGTGGCTTGTAAGGATGTCCGCGTACGGCCTGCCGGAAGACGAGAAGGCCTGCAAGAGCATCTCATATTAGAGGACATGCGCATGCCCAGCACCGCTGATGCGTTGCCAAGTTAATGTCCAGGTAGGCCGGTGATTACAATCATCTCACACAGAAGCCCTTACTTCTCAGTCGATAGAGCAAAGCTCAATAACGTACTTTGAAAGCAAGGATTTTCGTTAACCGCGGTCTTCCAGAAGTCCTGATTTGTATCTGAGTGTTTGAAGTGGACTTACGACCGGAGTCATCGCATGTTTACCTTGATTGGTCAGCAGTTGTGCCTTTCTGAAGGGATATTTCACAAGAAATAGGGATGAGACCTTGTACCCCAATTCCAACTCCGAAGCCGACGCGTATGCCTGCTGCACCACTTTCTCCTTTGCACCGGACCTTGGCGGTCTCTTGTCGCCCCGGTGACATCAGGAGGTCAATGTTGCCTCTCGCTTCAGACCCTCTTAATGTGAAAGAATATATATATATATATATATATACGTCTCTTGTTCCACGCCAGAGCTTCCTCGCAAAGCACGGAAACCTCTGACAGGTCAACAACTTGGTGGGAGAGCGGTGGATTGCGGGCTGTGAGGAGCTGGATCCCGACACCACAGGCTCATCTGTGCACAGATCATATCTCCATCTGGTTGTGTGAAGTTTAGAGTTTATCTCAACTACCACAAAACGAGGATTGAAAGTAACAGGAACCGAGTGTCCGTAACAGTGGAGTGTGGCAGGAACCGGCCCCAATTCCGTAACAGGAACCGGCCGGTTTCCGCAACAGGGCCGCTGGGCCCTGCGTCACGGGAACCAGCCGGGGCTTCGGAAAACCCAGACATGTGTTGAGAATGGCTAAAACTTTCTTCTTCGGACTCTGCCAACGGGGGACCGATTTTCGGTCCCCCTTCTAGATGCATTTTGTCCGGCATTTCCAGCTTACCTTAAACCTAGCCACGGCCCCAAGAATCAACTTACGTATCATTCTAAAGCAACGGCAGACATGTGAACTTCAGGGTTTAGGGTTTAAGGTTGAGGGTTTTCGGATCCAAGCTTTTGGGTTTAGAAAAGGTAAGTCTATAAAACGGGGACCAACTAATATATTGTAGTTCCTACTTGGGCTGGGGGCTCGCGATTCTGCCTCATTTGGAAGGTCAAGCGGACTTCGTAAGTGTACTTATAGCTCCTAAATAAACATATAGCAACCTCTGTTAGCTGTTATCCCTATAATGAAGAAGTCCCCTTGATCCAAAACCTAAAACCATAAACCCTACCCTTAGACCCCAAACCCTGACCATCTGTGACCCTTGGAGGGTGAAGATCTAAAGCTCTGGCTTGGAGTTTAGCGTTTAGGGGTTTTAGGGTTTAGGTACTAGTTACCATCATACCTTGGAGTCGTAGGAGTGGTAGTAAGGGTACTTATCGCCCAAAAAAAGAATATAGCAACCTTTGTCTTCCCTATAATGAATGAATCCCCTTGATCCCACACCCTAAACCCTAAACCCTGACCATTGGAGGGTGAAGATCCAAAGCTCTGGCTAGGAGTTTAGGGTTTAGGGGCTAAGGTTTAGGTTCAGGATGTAAAACGGAGTGTAGAAGTAGTACTAGCAGAAAAATGACTAGAATGAGGTACAAGCAAGTTGAAAAAGGAATGTAGAAGTAGCACCAGTGGTAGCTCCAGCACAAAATGAGTAGAACGAGATACAAGCATGTTGCAAAAAAATTGTCCTGGGGAGGGACCGATTTTCGCTTCCCCACTTTTCGAGATTTGGGCTCCGGGATTGCGGTACTGGTTTTGGTTTCGGTTTCGGGGGCTTGGCGGAGCGGTTTCGGTTACGTTTTGGCTGCGGTTTCTGTTACGGTCCCGGCTGGTTCCCGTTACGAGTCCAGAAAACTGGTTCCCGTTACGGCCGAAACGGATCCCGTTACTCCCGCACTCGAAACGCTGTTCATCTGAAGTTCCGTGCTTGCGGGGGGGAGGTTTGACCGGAAGAGGTCTACACACTGAGACGTGAAGGTCAGAAGACAAGATCCGCAATGGTTCCTTGTTATGCACGTTGAGGGTGTGTGCGGGTTTGGAGTCTGGGCATGAGAGATGACTTCAATGTACAAAATCTAAATGCTTTATGCGCTGAGCCCCTTGCCTTGGGATAAAGCAAAGTGTTTGTGAGATATCTATTGCCGAGCTATATATACTGAGCTGCTTTTTAGGGAATTGTGGAAGCTTGGAGTTGTAGTCTTGGGCATGAGTGTGCCCACATGATGGTCTTTGTGCCTTCTCAGCTAGAGTAGTTCACGGGATCTGCGGCTACACTGCCTTGAAGGCACAATCGCCGAAGACCAGCTTGTGTCAGCTTGGCAGAAGGCATTCCGACAGCACTAGCCTATGCAGTTGCTTCGGTTTGCAGGGCCAACATCAGCACAATTGAAGCAAACGAAGGTGTGACATGGCCATGGCATGCAGGATGGTGCAAGCATAGTCAGGCAAGGGGTCCTCAGAATTTGAAGGCTCTTCAAGGGTTCCCGTACGCTGGCCTCAATGGCACGCTTGCCAATTGCTGTTCTGGCCCCGAGTGGCCCAGGTGAAGGCTGCGCTGGTTGGCGTGGTTGAAGGCCGGGTATCAGAGATTGTCGAATCCGCTTGACACCACACATGCTTACTTGACGTGTTTGGGACCAAGTGGCTTGTGCCGTGCAAATTAGAGTCTTGGGCCAAAATGAATAGCCAAAGCTTGAGGAGTGCTGCGCGCGACGGTTTTGATTCTGCATTCGCATTCGGCATTGGGAGGCAAACTCGAAGAGCTTCGCAGTTAACCTTTGCCACCGGATTACCGCACCTTGCCTGGATATGCCTGGATTTTGCTGCTCGGAGAGTCGTCATTAGGCTGCAGAAGACCCAACGTATCCGTAGAGTTGGAATGCAGCAGTGCCAGTGAGAAAGACGATCTGCTGTGACTCAGGTGGGGCCAGCATGTTGAGGATTCCAGCGCATCTCGCTTAATCAGGCTGAGTCGCAGTGTCACCCCAGTCGCCGCAGACCGGCGAACTGAACCCTCAGCAGCAGCTACAACGACACATGCAAGTTGGGATATCCACAACTATGACGAACATTTCATGCATAGCAAGATCAGTCTCACTCTTTACAGTACACGGGGCAAGGGGAATGTGGCGACCAGAACAGGTACGAGACGAAGCTCACCAATCTTTAGAGCTTTGAGCCAGATTTCCTTCCTCGGCTATGTTTCACTGCACTACTGAAGCCTCTAGGCCGCGAAACAAAGCATTTGGAGAGCTTCAACTTGAAATCGCACTGCAACACCATAGACGCCAAGCCCTCGACTGTTGGCAATGCAGCGCAGGGAAAGGCATTGGTCCAGATGGGCTCGCAAATGCAAAGAGCAGCAGGATTGCCACAGGCCAGTTTTGCTCGGTTCGGTGCAGAGGTTCTGAACGGGTCGAGGTTGATACAGGTTGGTCAGCACGACGTTAGCTGGCAGGATCATAACGCCTCGGCGCTGGTACCACTTGTGGAGGCGCTTCGCCTGGACATGTCACAGGGAACTTGCTGTCTCCTTGTTGTTGAAGTGGCTGCATGTCCGCTAAGGTGCCCCTGGAGGTTGGTTCTGAGGTTGCGGACCTCGTGATGCTGGGAGCTTCCGCCCGAGCCCTGTTAGCCTGAAAGAGTCCGATCGCAGATGCAGATAACATGTACTAAGCCTCTAGTCCTGTACGGTGGCAGGCTGTGGCGCTCCAACAGGATGGAATGCTACCTTGCTGAAATATGCTTGCACGGGCAAGCCAGCACGCTTCATACGGTTCAAAGGCTCTACTTGCCAATTGCCCACCCATCCTTGCTCGTTTTGCATTCCACGAGCTAATCTGATCTTCCTTGAGGCTGCTAATCCACGATCTTTCCAGAAAACATGCCGAAACGCTCCTCGGTAGATCTGGGGTCTTGCAAGTGTGCTGTGTACGCCAGAGCCAAGAGCTCATGGTACGCAATCGATTGAAACGCATGCATGGCTTACGGCAGGTTCCGGCTTCAGGTGCACTCCGCCCGTGGCGCGAGGCAGTCAATGAGGGTTTGGACCCTGCTTCCAGCTGTCCGCTCACTGTTGCAGGTGGCTTGGCCTCTGCCCAGCCGGAGGGCGAGATTTGCTGCTGGTGGCCACAAGAGAGGGATGAAGGGGGAGCAACAAACAGCAAGGGGTCCACAGTCGATAGAAGGGTCTTGACTACCTCTGTCGTGAGGTGGGCAAGTTGGACCATGCCAGCGATCTCGCTATTTGGAGGAGATCACGAAGTTCCAATACTTGCTTTAGCTTTACTTGCCGTTAGCTGTAGAGTCCAAAGCTTTGTAACGGATATTGGAAGGATGAGCCTGCCGATCTGGATGTGAGTCCGCGTTGCCACTTTCGGAGATTGACGCCTACCACAAGGGCCTTCCCCGCATGGCTCTTTGCAACGTTTCGCACATCGTAGAGGTCGAATTGCTGCAAGCCAGCCGGAAGTTGTTTCTTGAGATTTGTGGGTGGTCAAGGTTCCTTTCCTGGGGTTAGCAAGCTGGTCTTGAAGGCAAGTGTACATAGTGGGTTGCGCTGCAAATCATGTGGCCACCGCCATCGACCGATCCATTATTTCGCATGTGAAAAGCAAAGTAGCAAGAATGAGGCAGCCATATGAATGTACATAGCAGGACTGGCTTGCGGGTTCTGTGAACCGTCATCTACAACACTATCTTTGTCTTGGGTAGCCTTCTAGTAGTCCCTGTGCACAGTTGCCGGAGACCTTTGTCATCATGCAGCCTTTCGGCTCTCTGGGTCTAAGCATGTCCAAACCACCACCTTAGCATGCATGTTGCGCTCACTGCCAGTAAGGTCCGAGCGCGATGCTTAACCTTCAGTTTACTTTCAGGGACTTAGGGAAGTGCTCTGACTGCGAGGCGCAGTCACAGCAAGGACCAGAGATGTGAGGTTTTCAGTGTTGCTGCATCGACTCGCCCATGGCCCCCTCGCGAGGCAGCTTCACCTGGGTAATTTTACATGCAATGACCTGCATGGAGAGCATTGTTTCAAAGGCTGGGTTTCAGCATGGTCTAGATGCACATGCACGAACGGCTGGATTCTCTTGCTCAAAGAAGCATTTTCCGTCCAGCAGCCGTCCAAGCAGCGTGGAACCATCTTCGCCTGGCTCTGAGCGTAGTTTCTGGTCGCTACCCTGAAATCAAACAGGAGCAAATGAGCTATAGTCTAAACTCCTTAACAGGGGGCTTTATAGAGGCATATATAGGGACGAAAAAGGGGGATACTAGGAGTTAAGACTACAGCTCAAATAGTGAGGAATTGCGCGCTCAAACCATGCAACACACGCTTGCTGCAGGTCTGAAAGATGCTGAGCCGCTGCGCCCTCCCTGCTCTGAGCCGCTCGGATACATAAACCGTATTGAAATGAAACATAAAAAGATTTAACAATTCTATACATAAGTCCTCATCAAGGCTTGAGGTTCAACAGTTCCTGAGGTCGCCAGCAGCCACTGCTGCGTCGCTTGGTACCAAGCCTTTTCCAGACTCGACATTTTGCTCGCCCGGCATGCCTCTCCAACCGCGAGAAGAGGCGCAGCTGCCAGAACTTCTTGGGATTGATCACGCTGTCAGCTTTGATGCTGGCTTACACTTTTCTTCTGGAATAGCTTACCCTGAAGCGGCAATAGAGTACAGGACTGAGACTCACCCTCGGTATTCTTTGCCTTTACAGGGAACTCAACGTGCGGGGACAGACGGTGCCAGTGAGCCCAGAGTACTGGGAAACTCGGCAGCACCAGGTAGCTGTAGTGGTCTGAGTCCCTCAGCACGCTTTTTCATCGTCACTTGCAGGTGCTACTACAATCACTCGGATTTTTGCCAATTCTTGCATAAACTGCAATTGTTGCGTTCCTGCCAATGTTGAGTTTGAGGATTATGTCGCTGATGAGCAGTCCGTGAACGACGCAGAGATCTACAGGCATGCAGCGGGTCGTTGAGGGTCCAGTCTCAAATTACGGGATGAGTTGTTGTTTCCTGGACTGTCCGTATCCCACAACACCAGGAATAACACCGAGAATTATGTCGGCACCGTCAAATATCCCATCGGCGTCATCGGCCCGCTGAAGGCTGCTCTGAGTCTGCTCGTTTGGCTTCAGTATCCAGCATCTATCGGATTCTGTTACCATAGGGGTCCGACACCTTCAGAAAAAGAGAACAAGCCATGGCCGACACTGTGTTCAGGTGAACGGGGAGTATGCCAACAGAGATTATGTGGTGCCCATGGCAACTCATGAAGGCATCTCCGTGCATTGAGATTCCTTGCAGGGTCAAGAAGTTGGTCGCCAGTTGCCAGGTGCCCTGTTGGCCTCTTACAGTCGAGGCGCAAAGGCCGACCGTGAGTCAAAGCATGCCAGGGCCTTCGTTTTTTATAATGGGCTTTGCTGCTAAAATGTTGAGGGAGCCCTGTGTGCTCTGGCATGCAAATGTTTAGACCAGCGGCAGGGATAGTGCCACCACGTCAGGTCTGAACACAAAAGAGTGCAGTTTGCAGGTCCTGCCAACATGCATCCTGGTTGTCAGGCAATCACAGCAGGCGGCGGCGTGACAACGCGGATCAAGACTCGATGCATGCTGCGAGCGCCGGTGCTTTGGCACAAGAGGGGTGGTACAATTCCTCAGCCTGCTTAACGATGCCATCCGGACACAGTGTGAGTGCACAAGGAAGTCTGGAGGGAATGGCCCAGGTTTTCATTTTCCACAACATTGCGGATGCAATCGAGTTCTACCGGTGGGCTCACATGGAAGAGAACCAGGCACGGCCGCAACTCCCCGCAGGTAATTCCCACCTCTTGGCTGTAAGGATTTGCCTTCTGTGAAGGTTGACTTCGGATTCTAAGATTGCGCATGTCCATCTGGCCAGCTTGCAGTTGTTGCAAAGTTTTCTTGGAGTCCAAGCTTGGCTTCATATCAGAATCCTGTCGAAATGCGGCGTGAAACGGCGACATGTCCAGTCCGAGTCCTTGCCCCAGACCTGGTTGACAGAACGTTTAGACTTTCGACCAGTATAGACCGGGTAAGGACTCCAAAAAGGCCGACAGTAGAATCATTTGCATGCTCGTCAAGCACAGATGTTTTGGCAACGGCCAGGCTGCCATCAAAGACTGCCTGCACAAGAACATCGGACACCTCACTGAGGAGCGAACTCGATTGAGGCCAACGCTTTCGATGTCCTTTTCCCATGATTCTCAAGCTGCTCCAGCCCTGTACCATCCTGTACCCATCATGTCAATACGTTCACTTGGCAGGATATTCCAGACCGACCGCAAAGTGCACATCTCTGTTGGCATTGACTCCCAGGATGCTGCTGGACAGAACAAGGCTCCCTTACATTGTCTGGGAGCTGACGTCCAAGCTGCTTTGCCATTCTACCGTTTGCTTGGAGAGCACACTGGGCAAGGAAAGTAGTCTGGCAGGTGACCTATGCGGGTGATTTGATGATGAAGTACTGCAAGGACGCCGGTAGCAGTGAGGTATTCGTATTTTGTTCAGCATCTGATTACTGGTAGGAGGGTATGCAGCACACGGGGCGTGATTCTTAAATATTTCTGTCACAGCTGGCCACACGGCAGTTCAAGCTAGAACAGACCAAGCAGCAACGCCATGGACTCAAAGGCAGATCAACTGCTGCAACCACACGCCTCAAGCAGTGTGCGTCTTCAATGTCTGGCGCGGGAAGCCTTTCAGACTGATCCTGACCAGGAGAAGTATCCAGGAACAATTCCCGAGATGTACATTGAAGGTTCCTCGGCAGAGGATTTGCCAAATGATGAAGGGATGAATGATGGACGTTCTAAGAGATGGGGCCTGCAGTACTTAATGTTAACCTCATAATAAGAAACCTCCCCCCCCCACCCCCCGAGGATGTGAACCCGAGCCTCCGTAATTGAGGGTGTCCGGGACCGTGAGCTGGAACTCCNNGCAACACAGTACTCTTCGAGCGCTTCCAGAATTTTTGGATTTTGGCGGGTTGGATTTTGCAAGTACGGGGTGGTTTGTAATTACGTTTTGGGATTTGGATTTTGCAGTTACGCGTGGGTTTATTAATATGAGGTGAACATTAGTACTTCATGTCTCTCTTTTTCTATCTCTCAAACCTTCCTGCCCCTAGCTGCCTTTGCTTTCTCCCTGCAAAGGCAACATAGGGGGAGGGCATTTGTTGCGGCCGCCTCATCCTTTAAACATCTTAACTGCTTTTTTAATATGTGGCCATTATCTTGTGTTATAAGAATCTCGGAGCTCTAGATCTTGGGAATCTGATATTAATACCAATAATGATTCAGTCAATGTTTAGTTTTTCAACCATATCATGCTGTAGGCATTCTGGCTGGTCATGTTCTAGTCATGTCCTGTTTTTGTGTCGTTTGGGTTGCGGCCATTCTTTGCTCCACAACAAGTTGCCACCATAGCAAGGAAAAGATGCGCACAACAGGTGTTTGCATACGCACGACAGACTCTGACTACATGCGTTTGACAGCTGGTTGTTGACATGTTGACAGCAGCCGCAGCAGTTGCTGTGGCTGCTGTTGCTGCTGCCGCTTCTGTAGGCTCAGGCACAAAATGGGTTTTGTGCAGGAGCCCGGGGATCCATCTCTGCAGTGCTAGTGAACGCTACTTTGGAGGGTCTCCTACTGAAAGCTTTGCCAAGCTTTGACTGGTTTAGATTAAATACAACGACAATCTCTACGTTGGTGGTTCTCCTATTGAAAGCGCCAGAAACAAGGAGGAGTCAAGGGGTGCCAAATGGGCTGTGGGACTGCAGGGAGGTGGGGGGGGCAACTGATCCGCGTTTTGAGGACTTTGGAGGGCCGAAAACAGCAAGGAGGGGGGAAGGTGAGACGCAATTGCTTGACGTTTTCGGGATTTCGGGGCTGAAAATGCCGAAAACATGGAGCAGTCAAGGGGGCCCAACTGGGTTGTGGGGCTGCAGGAGGTGGGAAGGCGAGAGGCAACTTCCCCGCGTGTTCGGGACTTTGGCGGGCCCCGGGAAGCCCAACTTGGCTATGGGCCTTCAGGTAGGTGGGAATGCGAGGTCCAGGAGATCTTGTCGTGCTATGCAGTTTTCTTGTCGCGGTTTGGTTTCTCCAGGGCTTGCCATGGTAACAACACCCCCTCTTTGCTCGTCCTGTTTTTGTCATTGTGTGGCATCTCTTTCGCTGGTCATCTGTGTTTCCATTGTCTCTTTCCATTGTGACATGTTTAGTGTGATTCTCTCCTTTCAGCCTCATGGGTAAACCATGTGGGTGGCATGTGCTTGGGACGCCGGAAAAGTGAGGCCTTGGGGCTGGAGGGGGGGGTTGTAGGGGTGGGAGGGGGTTGGGGAAATGACTAGGTCCCGCAAACAGAGCTGCAGAAATGGCTACAATTTTCTTTAAGCAAACGACGAAAAGTTGATTAGAACATGACTAGAAACTAACGACGAATGACAAAAACATGCTTAAGAGCCTCAGCATTTCCACCGCAAGCGCCGTAGGCTCATGCGATCAAAAAGGGCCACCATAAGCTAATCCATCTGTCTCGTAAACTGCTGCAAGCAAATTCCTTACTGTGAAAGAAAACAACCTTTGATCCCCGCTCATGTAAGACTATTGTCATGCCACCAGTCCTTGTGCAACACGCTACAATATGAGGCAGGAAAGGGGCCCTACTTTTGACAAACACTCGCAACGCTTCCTTCATCTCTCTGTGTCCCTGACCTCAGGCGGCTTCAATGCGGGAAAGCTGCTTGACGCTAATTGAGTGGACATGCCCAATGACCAATGACACAAGAATCGGTTCCAGTGTCGAATCAGGCACGGCTAAGTGTTACTGGAAGCGGATCCTTGCATTAGGATCCTGCAGAAGACCTCCCTTACACGTAGACTGTGCCGTCCTTTGGTGGTGCTCAGGCGTGTCTCTGTCATGCACACTCTCCTGGGCAAGGGCCACTCGCTCGTGGCGGACTGCGTCATCCCAAAGGAGCCATCCCAAGCCTTAACAAAGGCTGTGTGCCCTTTCAAAATAAGTCAAGATGCCGCAAGCAACCAGCGGCAGGTGCAATTGATGTCATATCTTCATGAGCAGACCTGCATGATCTCGCAGACATCTCCCCTCCATGCTGCCGCAGCTTCAGGAAGTCTGCCAATCCATTCTGAGAACTACTCCATACAGGCAGGGGCAGAAGAGATGTTAAACAGCAAGCAGAATGTGCAACCGAACTGTGCAGCGCCCCACAGCAAATACAGGCTACAGCGATTCCAGAAGATGCACAACAGGACCAACGAGTTCATGGGTGGTATCAGCTGAGACTTGGCTCATGTTCCAAAGGTTCCTGCTGCTCTCTGTCTTGGTCTGAGCTGGTACTGCAAGAAAGCCCGCAAGAAAGTGCCAGAAGATATCGGAAGGCACAGCTCACGTGGCCAACGGCTTGGCTGCATTCTATATTGCCACTGGCAATGACCCTGCTTGCACAGCTGCGCGGACGCAGTAGATTGCTGATACTGAGCATTTGTGTGTGTTTGCATTGTGTGAATGGCTTACTCCACTTCCAACACAACAACACAAGTCGACACATGCATAAGTTGCTGCATAAGTGTTTTCCCACAGGTTCATGGTCCAAGCTTCAGAGCGTAGTGAAAAAGGGTGTTCTGTATCTTTCCATGCTTTCTGAGGCTGAGTCTCAGGCTGCGGTGACGCACTTCGACCTGGTGAACCCTTCTGGAGGTGCTTCAAAGGGTGGCCGTTAGTTCGAGAGGCTTCATCTAAGTGGCAGCATAAACCATTCGGTGAGCTCATTGGCTCCAGCGCTGGCTTGTGACCAGATACTCATGGGATATCATTGGATGCTCCTCTTGCGCTGCCCGATTTGCAGGATCCACAGGCCTTTTCGACCAGGACCTGTACGCCAGCATCACGCTGAACTCCATCATTGCCCTTAGCTTGAAACACTGTTAACTTTCTGGCAGCATGCTGTGACAATCTGAATCATGATCTGACTGAATCGGGGTGTCAGAGCCTTCTCTGGCCCTGAGCCGAGGTTGCAAACATAGGAGGCGGAACCTCGCTCCCATCCTTCAAGGCATCCAAGAATGAGGGCAAAGAAAGTAGAGTAGCGGCGTGTCGGCTGTCCAGGCGGCCCGGTCCATGATGGGAGTGGAGAGCGCCAACGAGTTGGCGGAGATTTGTGCAGGTGCGCGTAGAGGAAGCAGGGAACCGGGTCTCTCGCGACATATCTGGCAGCGCAAGCTGGAACTGGCCCTGCAGCTTGTGTTGTGCGTGTGTGCACACTCCGGACAAATCTGCCAACACTCGCGAAAGCTTTCTGACATGCTGTGGATTCTGCAGCTCTCCAGGCGTTGCCCTCTCCGGCGAGCTCAGCTTTTATGCTTCCATGGAGACAGGCCACAAGTTGCGTTGCTGTGAGAGTTTGCATTTGCTGTTTGTCCGCTCAGCTTGACCACTCTGCGACAGGCAGTTTCGCAGATGCGCATTGGAACATGACACACAAGTGATGAGTTTGAACACAGATGTAGTTTCATCGTAGAGTCACATGCAGAGTCACTGAGATGCCAGCAGACCTGCTCATGCGTATCAGTCCGTGTGCACCTTGTGAAAGAGAGTTTGCATGCCTGGGTCTAAACTTTTTCTTTCATGGGCTTGAGCAGACTGTCAAAAGAAGCCGCATCTCTCTTTTCATGCCTGACTATGCTGAAAGTACAAGCTTTCGGGCAGAAAGGGCAATGTTTTGAATTTGTGGTTGCACCTCGGCAAGATCATGTGACCTCAGGAAGGCCTACTCGTATAGCTGTGGCATAGCACAGGGGCAGTAGGAGCACATCATGCATGGAGTCCGAGTGGCACTCTTGGACAACGTAAGATCTGGGCGCTAAGGGAGTGTGCCGGGTCGGTTGTCATTTGCTCAAACAGCTGCTGCTGAACTTCCTGGAGGGGGCCGTGGCAGATGGTTTGAAAGCAATACTGCTTGTACTTCAGGAAGGAATTGGGCATGCAGCTGAAGGAAGATGTATAGACTACAGTCTCCGCAGTGTTTCTTTGTGTTTTCCAAAGGAAAGTCGAGCCATTCGGTTCGGACTAGGCTTTGGAGTGCTGGCGTAGCAGCCATCTAGTGACCAGCTACCAGATCGATTCATAGATCAGGAGAGACTGCTCGCGAGCGATCGATAAGAGAAATGTGCACGAAACACCTTAGCGCAGCACGCTCTGCCCAGCTTGGGCCACTAGCACGCGTAAGCCTGCATCCACTACAAAGCTGAGACAGGCTTCTTGGTTCTTAGTAGGGAATCGTGGAGCATCTTATACTCTGTAGGGGGTATATTCCCTTATTCCCCACTTATTTTCCCTTATTCCCCGCTTATTTTCCCTTATTCCCCACTGAGAACCAGCAAGCAGTTCAGGCGTTCCATGCACCTTGGAGTGGCGGAGCCGGGCAACGGCCCCGATCCACGCATCTCGGGCGCCTCGCGCAGCGCCTGTTCCTGAGTCGGCCCTCGGCTGGGCTGAGGGAGGTATAGGAGTTATATTGGAGTAATATAGGGGTTATATAAGGATTATAGGGATAATGGAAAATGAGATGGGAACTACTATTTAGGGTTTGGAGGTTTAGGGTTTAGGGTTCAGGCTTTTTGGTTTTGAGACTATGTAGGGATTATATTCCCTCAGGGAATAACGGAAAGAAGATGGAAACTGCTTTTATATCATAATGGGGCATATGTTGGGATATCATACTTACTGGTTTTTAGTAGGGAACGGGAATATGATCTCTATATAATCCCCATATAGTATATTCCCCTCTTCCCTACTTACTACCCCTGGGTAAGTCATTGGTTGTTGATCTTCAGCTTGCAGCGGAGGCTGTGCCTGCTGGGCGTTCCTCGGTTCTTTGATGACACCTCTCACCTCCTGAGGCCTGCAGGGTTTAGGATTTAGGGTTTAGGCTTGCAGCTAGGATAGCTATGACCTTTGTCTTGTCCTATTCTGGATTGTCTTGAAGATGAAGCGGCAGGCGAAATTTGTTCGACCGCGTTGGCCGGACCTCGCCTTATGTTCTCTAAACCAGTCAAACTTCCATGGTGCAACAAGCATTGCCTTCTTTGGGTGGGGTCCGGGTTGCTGAAGACAAATCAATGTCACACGGTCCGAGCTGGAGTGTCACTTGCACCTCCTCATCCTCATTTTCGCTTCCTGCTTTCAGGACTCTACGGTATCTGGGGATGATGCGGAGAAGCTATAAACCTCTAAGACCAAGACTCAAGACCTCCAAACCCCTCAAGCGCTAATGCTACCTCCATATCCCAAGCTATTACATCCTCTTCAGTTAAGGCCTCTGGATCTGTTTGCCTTTGTGTCTGCATCGCGAAGACCAGCAGCGCCAGACTGCCGGCGACAGAGCTGCTCTTGATGAGCTGGGTGGCACTTCGAGATGATTCATGGTCTTTCTCATTATTTCACAAGGAAACCTATTCATCAATGGTTTGGGACCCTCAAAGTGTCACCCAGTAAGTTTGTCTTCACTGTAGATGCATTTTCCAGTCATAAGGACAAACAGCTTGTCAATGAAAATCATTGTGGGTCATGATGATGATCGTCCTCAGCAGCAGTTGTGCTGCTGCCGCCGCCGCTGCTCAGAAGAACTTTAACGGTTGCCGTCTTGATTGGTATGCAGCTTCCGGAAACGTGGTATGCAGACATCTGATTAGACATCCCCCTTGAATAGTCCCCTTCTGTTGCCCGTGTATCTCGGGTATTCCCATCATCCTTGGTTTATAATCCTACACTCCATGGACTGTATGCGTATGCATGCGTGACGCGGAAGACTGACCTGCTTAGGCCCGCAGCCCCACAAACTGGTTGAACTGGTTCCTGGAGACAGCAGGTGCCCCAGGTTTTCGGGATACAGTCGTTGACATGGTGTGCTCAGATTTTTGTAGGGGTCATCTAGGGAGGATTCCATGAACATCATGCAGGGCATGTATGAGGATCATTCAGGTGTTGACCTGAGCCGCATGCCAGTATCAAATCGCACTCTGCCACTCCTCAGAGATTGGTTGGTTGGGTCAGCTGCCTTGCTTACAGTTTCTTGCCAGGGTCCCCAGAGCAGCTTCATGCCGCCCAAGGCACTCTTGACGGCGAGCTGCAATATGCGGCGCCACCCGGTCAGGACTGGAAGCATCAGCTTGACCTTCAAAGGGCGCTAGGGTATCCATTTCATTTTCCATTCAATTGTTTTGGTGTCCTAAAGTCAAAGTCCCTATACCCTGGCCCTAACCCTAGTAGTTTCCATCTTCCTTCCCATTGCTCCTACATATCTCCTATATATACCCTAATAAAACCGAAAACCCCACACTCTGTCTCTAGATCCTGTTATAACATTGTAGTTTCCATGTTCTTTTCAATTCTTCCAACTCTTAATATTCTCACCATGAAAGTGGACTCACTGAGGAAAAAAGTAGTACTCAGAATAACAACACTAATGCTAGTAGTAATAATAGCAATACCGAGAATACGAATAATGGTAATAGAAATAATTATGCACAGCTCTTGTAGTTTGGCGCTGGTGTGAGGAGGACTTTGAACTGGGTCGCTTTGCAGGTGATGGTGCTTCCCTGCCAGAGCCTTGTTATCTTAACCATTCTGTATCCAGGCACTCCGAATTCCACCGGTAAGTGTGCGAATGTTCGCTGATTTGATTTTGATTTCTCATCTGCGGTGTATGAGGCTGACAGCTACAGAATGGGAAGCACTGCAGCAGTTGCTCCCGGAGACCGTTGCGGGAAAGGCGGGGGTCTGGAAGCTGGGACCTGTGCATCTGCAGAATGCACACCGAGGTGGCATGGGGTGACCGCCCCCTGGACTTCCTGAGCAAGGCGTCTGCACAACATAGGAAGCCAAAGACAGCAATTTGGGAAGACTAAACTGAGTCGGATGGCAGCAAGAGCCTTTGCGCAAATCCCGTGATCAGCACCCGGATGCCGCATGGCGCCGCATTGCTACGCGCCCCGGGCCTTGGCTCGGTGGCCTTGCAAAGCCTGGGGCCCCAGCTTATGCAGGACCGCCTGAGCGGGTAGTGGTGGTGGTGGTGGTGGTCTGAGTTCAAACTTGGCGTGTCCCACGACCAAGACCCATGCCAAAAGGGGAGATGATGTGCACAGAGTTAGAAGCATCTCATTGTCAAAGCCAGGTCGGATGTCGGCCACGACGACATCACTGGCTCTGCATCCATGCTGCCAGCACCTAAGCTGTTTCGAGTATAGCGACTGACGTCGGTGGGTGACGCGCATGACAACCCAAAAAAAAAACGCACACAGGACTTGAGCGAGCTTTCTCACGCATTTCTTGTCAGCTGTCGGATGCGCAAAGAGGCCCCTGTGCCAAAACAACCCCGCAACGCCTGCCGTCCTTGTACTGAAGGCGATCAGCAGATTCAAGAGGAGTGAAGAGCTCTGGCGTCCGCTTCACAGACGGAAGTCTAGGCTCCGCTGCCTTGCACAGCTGCAAGTGGCCATGGACGCATCCTTTGCAAATTCTTCACAATTTCATTGGCTGCAAATGTGAAAACCCGTTGCTTCCTAGGAGTATTTCACACTCAGCGGGGAGTTGCCCTCCAACAGTCCTCGCTGCAGGCCACCGCGTGCGGCCAAGTGCAGGCTTAGCTCAGCTCCGGGCTTTGCAGCTGGGGCCCCAGCCCCAGGCCGGCTCTTCAAATGAGCATGGGGGCTACTATGCATGTTTGCGGTGTCGTGCTTAGGGAATGGAAATTTTGAAGAGAAAATGTAGACTGCTATTAGAGTTTGGGGTCCGGGGTTTAGGGAATGGATAGAAAGCGGAAACTTCCTTCATTTCAATTGGACATAGAGGCTACTCTGCACTCTCCTATCCTATCCACTTAGGAAGTACGTTCACGTTGTCATTACAGTATAGCCCCAAGGAGCTATCAAAGATGATGGTCTTAACATGGGTTTAAGGGGGTTACAGTCACTCGGGCTTGCAAACAAAGGACCAGAGACTGGAAACTACCTTATCTCAGGGAAGAAAGGGAGGATCAACCGGAAAATGAAATTGAAGCCAGTTAAGGCATGATCCTGCTCACTTGTGCAATGGAAGCTGGGAGAACATGGGGATGGAAAGTGAAATGGAAGAATGGACAATGAGATGGCAACTGGGGTATCTGAGGCTCGATGGGGCTGTCAAGCAAAGAACAAGGAAGAACATGCAAAAAGGGTTGCTGTTGTTGCTGCTCTTGCTGCTGCTGTTGTTGCTGTTGATGGTATTAGTTGCAAAGATGAATGATGCCAATCATGATCACAACCACACGGCGTGTTGTTCTAGCATGGATGGCGTCTGAAAGGTTCTCAAAGCCGAGGGCTTTTAGGCTAATGCCATTCATTGCAAATAGCCGGCACACCGTAGTCGCGTCTCCAAGAGAGGCCCTGTGAAAACTGCATGGCGGCCATGACATGTCATGCCATTCAAGGTTCTCCCTTGCATGCGTCATGCTCTCGTGCCAAGCCCGTGATGTCCACCAAGCGTTCTTTCTAGAGATGACAGGTCAAAGGTTTTAGTTAAACGTGTCAATGTCTAGAGTCTCATCCAAGGGAAAGTTCTCCGCAAGCACAACAAACGGTTTATTGGAACACTTGTGGTTGGACACAGATCGCTGCTTGCGTGGTTCCCTGCAAGAAGGGCAAACAAGCTTGCGTGCTTGGTTTAAACGGAATGGCCGAGACTTGCTAAATGCACCATGATTTTTTCATGATAGGTAGATGGTTCTTTCTCGGTTGCGCCGGTATGCTTGCAGATGGTGCGCGGATGCGGTCAGATGGCATGAGGACAACGTTCTCAACTCTTCGTGCCCACCCCGTGAAAACAGCAGGGCAAGAAGCCTCTTTTTTGAGGCATGCACATTTGGACGTGCATTCCTGGCTGTAGTGATGCGTCACACTTAGACCTAAAGCATACACGTCCACACACTGAGTTGCAGCGTAACGGATTCGACCCCGAGCTGGAAGGTACTCCCATGTGCTTTTTTCACGGTGGGATCTGCAGTTCTTGATTCCGTTTCCTGGCCTCGAGCTTCTTGAGGACCCCGAGGGATCCAGAGAGAGTGTGTGTCTGTTTGTATGTACGCATTGTCAGCTTATTGCATACATAGTGGTCAAGGTTGAGCAACACTGTGCATCAATGACTCTGACCTGGAAATATCACATAGGTGAACATTGTCAGCTTAGTAGGGGTTACATAAGTGCAGAGATTGTAGGGGCCCCCTTAGGGATCCGAATGGCTCCAAGTGCTGGGTTTGTTTTTCTCACTGTCGGTTAGTGGGAATAAAGGAATATGTAGGGCTCATATTTCCCTACTGCCTACTAACCACCAGTAAGTTTGGGTGATTGCCAGTCATGAGGCGACTGTCCTTGCAAGAACCCTTTCCTGTAGCGGAAGCCATACATGGCTTGAGCCTTGAGATGCCACCCCTACTAGTAATAATAGGTAATAATAGAAATACTAGTGGAATCAGTAGAAATTGTGATAGTAGCGGTAGTCTGGCTGCAAGGAGATTGACTCAGAAGCCGTTTGGCTGCCGCAGGTGCGCGAAGATTTGCATCAGACAAGACTGATTAAGATGATTAAGTCGGATTCCGCAGGCATGAACAAGATCAGAGCCTTATGCAGATTAGCCAGGGCTGCAGAGTGCCGTGCCGGCATGACCTGCATGAGGAACGATCTGATTGAAGCTTGCTTTACCATTGCAGTCCAGCAGCTGGACCAATCATAGGCCCCAGCACACACATCCCACGCTTCAGGAGATGTTAGCTTCGTTTTGAGTGTGTGTTTTACCGTGGTCAAGTTTGCGCTTAGTTCACGGGAATCAGTGCTCACACCTCTGGCAGCTGCGCAGCGGCTGTGCCACCACAGTACAGCGATCCGCCAATGTCCGCCTTTCATGTCCTCCGGTGAACAGATGCTGTCCTAAGCCTTGAGACAACTTTTGGGACCCTCTAGCTCCACCACGTAAGTTAGTTGGTCAAGCATGTCGTGGAGTGTAGACACTCAGTAAATGGCCTGGGTTGCGCGATAGAGCAGATGTCACCTTGAATAGCGCAGCCTGGAGAGATTGGGGAAAAAGTGCTCGGCAAGCCATCGAAGCTCCGCAGGTGCAGGGCCAGTTCTTTGCTAATGACCGCTTTGCCTTCGTTCCGCGACCGAGGCAAGCAAATGTTAGGATTGCGGCAGAAACAGGCTGAGAAGTAATTCACGAAGCCTAGCACTGCAACCGTAAGCTGGCCTTGCAAATGATGCGGGAGGCTTCGCAACCCCTATAATTAACCTCTTGAAAAAGGAGAATCAAATGGAAAAGGAGGTGGAAACCCCTGGACGGCCCCCAACTTGCAAGACCTTTCATCTACCCTCTATGAAACGTACATATCCACAGTTAAGAACCCTAGCAGGGTACACGGCCGACCTATGGGAACTGATAGGGTCGCTCTAAATTAAGCAGGGATCTTCAGCTTAACAGCCGAATATAGGAACCCCCTTTAAGGGTACATGGAGGGTCCAGCTGCTAGCTTCTGCAAGCCGTAGCATTGAAGGCTTTCAGCGTACTTTGAAGGCTGGAAGCCAGACTCTCAGTGCAATGAGCCTTTGGGCCCCTGGGCGAATAAGCTACGGTTGTTAGTTAGGGGGTAAGGGAATATGGTCTCTATATATATATATATATCCTGTATAATGTGTATCCTTATGCCCTGCTAGCCCCAGAAAGATAAAGGCTTCCTACAGGCAGATGTCCCAGGGGAGCTTCTGAGAATCATCCTTAGGAATCCTCGGCGTGGGCCCCCATGATCACTTTGCAATCACCGGTTTGTCCCTAGGGCGGACGGCTCCATGTCTAAGAAGCTGTTGTTTAGCAGGGGGACTGTAGGATTCAGCGAAGTAGCTGCGCGACTGGCGCCAGAGAAGCAATGGATGAGGCTTGTGGTCTCGGGCGAGGCCGAGGAAGCTTTTCAGATGCTGATGCCGCGAGCCCTCAGCTTACCAATACCGCAGCCTGTCCTTGTGTGAACAACTGCCCAAGTGGGCAGAATTGGAACTGGGCATCAAGCTCCAGACACGAGCCTACTGATGTTATCGTCAGGGTTCTGCAATATGTTGGGTATACTTCACATTGGAAGCTCAGGTGGGAACTCCATTTTTCCGGCAGGATCACCTCGACACAGAGGCAAACTGAGCAGGTTTATGGATTTGAGACCTTTCAGGTTCCGATGTTATAAAGATGAATGGTATCGGCGTCATGTAGTCACAAGCTCCTGATGCAAACTATGGAAAGCCTGAAACTCAAAGCGTAACAAACACTAGACCGAGGCCCTAAACCTCAAATCAACTCTGCCCGAGGGCTTCTTGCATCTGCGCCTGGCACATTCCGGCGCAAGCATGGGTCTTGGCTCACTGGATTAGGTGCAGGGTTTCATTCGAGTTTGTTTGGATAACTGCCAACATGTAAATTGAAGTTTGCACCTTAATTCAGCAACCTGGCCTTGACGAAGCGTCAGAACATTTACGCCACCGAGCCTTGTTCTCCCCGGTTTCATTTTCTGCGAGCTATTCTATGTCTGCTATTAATTTTCTGTTCGAAGGCAGTTTTCGAGGCTCGCAATTGGTAGTGAATGTCAACAAGCTGCATTTTGCTCAAGGGATCCCACGAGATTTTGGCCACAGATTTTGGGTTGAGGTCTGGAGTTGGGAGTTTAGTGTTGACGAAGGGCCAGAATTAGGCTCAGAGAGTTTGTAGCTGTTGTACGCAACTAGTACTTACTACACCTTACTACTTGAAACACCCGTCAAGTTTTCCTGGCTTCGTTTCTACCAGTCTACTATGATTTTGAGGGATACTAGAAGTCAGGTCAGCAATAGCTATCAAGCGTTACTACCAGGATGTTTGGGGTGTCTACTACGCTATACCAACATGCCAACATGCATATGTCCCAGCTCTTTGGCCAGCCTAGGAAGTCGAGGGTTTATGGGAAGCAAGCTGCCTCAGCTAATGCACGGACTGTTTGTGTGCTGCAGAAAAAGTCGTTCGGCTCGCAAAAGCTGCCCAACTGCCAAGGGACCATGCCCCTTCCTCCGCTCTTCTACGTGCACTGCCGTCCGTCTTCGGATCTACGGACAGTCGAATACGAAGTGATATCATGGCTAGCTGCGGCTAGCTGTGTATTGGTGAGCTTGCCTTGATATGCACTGTGCTGGCAGTGGCTGCACTCCAAAAGATCTCTTGCTTTGCCTTTCTTGTGCAGGACGCTTCGGAGCCTGGGCTTCTTTGACTGCTCCCCTCTATCATCCTTGGCAGACGTTTCAGTCCAGGATGAGGCTGGTCATAGAAACCGTCCAAGATGGAGGCAGTACTACAAGTTTATTGTGCTTAGTGCTTCATCGGGTTTGCTTTGTCAGCAGCTTTCATCTTTGTTCGTGCCTCTTCTGAGATTCTGCTAGCTGTGCTCTGAGCCAAGATCATCGGGCCCAGGAACTCATGTGATCACTCATGTAGCAAACCACCTTCTTGTCACGGATGTCGGCTGTAACTTGTTCTGCTGCATGCTGCTATTGTAGCGCGACGCTTGCAAAGGCTTGCTCAATTCTTACGTCTGGCCGTAGAATTTCTTGCTTCCCTGCATCGTGCCATCTGCACATCCGACATTGTTGCTGGGAAGACTTATATTCTCTCGTGTGCGAGCCTGTAATCGCCAGGCGACAGATGGCAGCAATGATGTCATCAAGGCAGCCAGGAAGTAGCCAGAAGAAAGCGTGCACATTCACACAGCAAACCAGAACACTTCCCTTTGGATGCGCAGGCTGTAGACAGCGCATTTGGGGGTGCAAAGTACAGCAGCGAGATTACCTACGCCGGGGCCTTACTGCACTTGAGCCTCGTTCGAGAACTTGGGCCAGGGGGAGCACCACAGCCCATGCACAACGCAGCAGCGCGAAATTCCAGGTTATAGCCACAGACTCCATCCTGGAAGATCCAGACAGCGGTGCGCGCGAGGCCCAAGAAGGCGGGCTTCAGGTTCAAACGGTTAGCCCAAGCTTCACGATTGCAAAAAGGTTCAACAGTAGGTCTGTCTCTCTGAAAAGGCCAGCAAAGCAAAACAGCAAGCAGACGCCCAAAGGGTCTGAAAAGTTGGATCTCCTGCCAGTTCAGCACCCTTCAAGCTCTCAACTCAAAGCCTAATCCTAGACCCTGAACCCCAACCCCACGTATCAGATAGCTCTCAGGGCCTAAGCAGCTTCTTCGGCTGCTGCGCCCTCGCTTGGATCGAGTTCGTGGCCATGCGGAGGTCTGAGACCTGGAGTGCGCAGACCCTAATCTTAGGCGCGCCTTTTTGGAGGGGATGGGGTAGGACTTAAGGTTCTACTAGTTGGCGAAAGGTTCTGAAATTGGGGTTCTGGGGTTAGCATTTAGGGTGGTTTCGGTCTAGGTGCGTATCCTAAGCAGAAGCTGCATGGGCCAAGGACGCTGGCCGACCTCCACATTGCTACTTATGCATTACTTGCGCATGACGGATTGTTGTCCAGACGGTTAGGAAATCCTGATATTTCTATATGTTTTCAAGTGTTCAGTCGAAATCGTATGGGCGCCCACAAGCTCGGAGAGACTTCCATGCATGATGTGCGACTGCTTCAAGGCTGCAAAAGGTTGGTTGGCGTTCATGCGGGTCGATTGATGCAAGCATCCTCATACTCAGGAAACAGGATCAGCTCCCGTCAACTGGACGAAGGACACCGTTGTCAGATCCCTTCGGTTCTGTTATTTCTGGTCTCATGTCAGAAGAAAAGTCTTCTCACAGCTTCGTGTCTGCCATCATACAGCAAGCATCACAAAGACCTGCCACTGGCTCGAGACAGGAGAACCTGTTTTCCGCCGTGTTTCTGTCGACGCAGATTGAGGTCAGCCCGATTTGAGGATGTACTGCTAGACGGGGCAGCAAAAACAAAGTATGCGTCTTGGCCGAGCCTTTGCAGCATTCCCTAGTTGCAGTTCACGCAGGTGAATTCCGTCTTGCAGAGAGGCATGTGCCAAAGGCTGGAGGACTGGAGGCCGTTGGGTGACTAACACGTAGCCATTGAGCAGCACTCCACTAAGGCATTGTCAGGATTTCAGACCTCCAGCAAATGTCACTGCCACCGTTGTCGGTTTCAGTAGGTACGACCTAAATTTAGCTTGATCTGAGGTTTTGGATGTTGGGGTATTTGGGGCCCACTTGAGTTTGCTGGTCCTTACTCTTCCAAGTTTGCATCAGAGCAGGCTAATGGGCTACCGCTGCAGCCAGTTCCTGACAATGATCATGGACTTAGCTCCGCACAGGCCCAGCCGCTCGTTGCTTTGAAGTGGACATGTCAGCTGCTGCAAGCAGGGCATTTCATGGGGATGTTGCATGCCGCAGCGGCCGCACAGCGATCAGACCATGGCAGAGAAGATGAACGTCGGAAACAAGCTCCAAGAAGAGACGCTTGAATACGCTGATCAAAAGCTAGCAAAACTATGACGGCAACAAGCTCTGCGGATCACGGACAAGACTTGCAGGAGACGGTAGTGGCATCTACAGAGACTTGCCGATTTGGTAAACCACATCCAGCAAGCCGGCCATGCCCTGTGGAAGCTAAGCGCTGTAGAGGCAGGGAAACTCAGAGCTTTTCGCCGTGATCCTGTGCAGGGCTTGTTCAGCCTGCAGCGTTTGCAGTGGGGTGTTTAGATTCCAGGCTGGAGTCTCTAGAGCTTTTTGCTGAGCCCTCAAAGTACTGCATGAAATTAGTAACAGCCTAGTGATGCAACCTTCAATTTAAGGAAAGCTTAAGCCACGCGATACGAAATTGGCAACTGCAGAGCGCTTTAACTGAGAAAATATCCCAGTTTTGTGCCGGCTTGTGCATGCATGATTCCGCTCGAAGGCATTGGTGAAAAGCCGCGAGAACCACAGCATGCTGCCACAGCGTATGCAAATGGAGAGCCGAAACCGCTTGACTTTGACAGTCTTCAGCATGTCTAGCATGAACGAAACGATACGCACTCTAAGCTGAAAGTCCACGAGGCCATGGACGACAGTCTTTGCCAAGACTGGTGCGAAGGTCAAGGCTTGGATGAGGCACCGGGAACAGACGCAAGACCAAACTTTGAGCAAACTTCGCAAAAGCGCTACTATCTGAAACAAGTAAAATGCATTCCGTCATGGATTGGCGTTCTAAAGGACGCATGGTCTCCAACGCCAACTTGGCACTTCCCAGCTTGTAACAGACGCGCTTCATCCACCTCTTGAAAGCTGTCCCTTTAGGATCTAGCGGCGTTTTCCTTGATCCTGAACAGACTGATGATACTGCATGGTTAGATAGAGGGCTGAAAGGAGTACTGAAACGAAGTGGGACCTCACACACGACAACCGCATCGATTCTCTGGCAAACGTGGCATGCATGTTTTGCCCACAGTGTAAGGCAAATCGAAGCATTCAGGAACCCGAAATTCCTTTTGCTCCATCAGGGCAGCGTAAGAAGCTTTTTTGGTCGTACATGCTGTCTCCCATGCTTCTATGGGTTCTCACTTATTGGGCCTCCGGTAGAGGCATGACGGACTTACAGTGGGCGCTATTTTGCTCACGATGCTCGTGGCATTTCCTTTTTCTTTGACAACATCAAGTTTGAGGTTCTCAAGACAAACTAAATAACAACCCAGGGATTGGTTTGGATCTTTGGGCCAAGGCCGTTTTCCTTGAGGGCGTTTGAAGGGACTGGGCATGAGGAATTCTGCTTGGTAGAGTTGTTGCTAGCTTTCAGGCATTGTCTACCTCAAACCTAACCTAGCAAACACACACACAGGATCAAACGGGTGAATGGCCTTAAGCTGCTTGGTGGATTTGTGGAAGTGTTGGCGGCCGTCAGAACCTTGGAGAAGATTGTTCACAATCCCATCGCTCAAGCACATCAGTCTGTCACAGCAGCCGCTGGATAATCCCAAAAAAGAGGACCCCCCCCCAAATGCCTTTGTAAGCCCTACGTACGCCATGTACGCCTGACATCACATCTTTGAGAGAACCCCGCGAAAATGATCTTGGAGAAAGGCATGCTTGTCAAAGCTGCTCGAGTTGGATGCCGACACGCACCTTGGCCAAGCAAGACTTGCGTGAGAAAACAGGCACGTCAGCACCATGGCCAAGGCAGAGAAAGCCTTTGAGTTATTGCTCCGCCACTAAGGCGGCAAACTGTCATAAATGGCTTTCAGCCGAAGCCGGGGACAAGCAATGTTCCCCGACTCTTTGCCGCTTGGCCAGCAATGGGCTGCTACTCGAATCCAGCATGTTAAGAGGTGTGTTGCGGAAGATGCCTTCATCACACCTGACGTTTGACAAAGCTGAGATGGGATACGTCCGCTCCATTGAGCTGGCAGCAGGGCGGCTCAACGGCGGCCAACATACCCAATGGAAGGGCAAAGAGAAAGGTGGCGCTAAAGGTGGGGCGAAGGGCGCAAAGGGTGGCTTCAAGGGCTACGGCAAGGAGGCACCAAGGCCAAGAACTGCATCTTGACTGCAGTCTGTAGCATTCTGCACTGTAACACCATGCGTGGAACATGCGCATCAAAGAGCTGGGCCGTGCGAGTTCAAGGTACAGAGCGCCGCTGCACAGCTGCAGGAAGAGGCCTATCAGCGGCCTGGCTCAAGGGTCATGTGCAAGCACCCAAATTGCTTCAGTGATTGCTCAGGTTCGCGGAGTCCTGGGGGCTGGATGAGGAGTGTGTGGCGGAGCTCTTGGCACAGCCCTTGCAGGCCCCTTCCGGCGTGCTCTCGTTGCATTGTCACATGAAGGCTCTGAACACGGATGGGCAGTGCTGTAATTTGGCGTAGGAGCATGACAAGATTTCTTATTCGAAAGTGTGACCCAAAGACCAAGATGATGCCTCCGCAGATGGGCTCAAAGATTGGTTGTTACATGTCTGGAGGTTAGACAGCAAGCATTTCAGCAATGGCAAGGCACCCACCACCACGGCCACCTACTGATTGTAGTGATAATAGTAATACCAATAATGCTTTTGCTGTTAAAGCCAAAGCCCTTCCCAGAACGCTGTCAGGACTAGGCACGCGCATCATGGAGCAAGATGCCATGCCGAGCATGCAGCTCCTATGACCAGCCTCCTTTCTCGTGTGGAGCAGCTTGAGAATCTGGACGAAAATCGCGCTCTCGTACGGAGAATCTGAAAATCAAAACGAAAATCAACAAAAAATCAAGAGGCAGCTGCGCTGTGCAGCTGCACTGTGAGAGTGCACTGCTTAAAATAAATGAAAGCCGCTGCGCTGTGATAGCGCGCTGGGGAGGATCTTCACGTCTCAAAAGCGTATCAAAAGTGTCAATAGTTTTCAGGAATCGAAGGGGTCGCGATCACGAAACACGGAGCGGTCCGTTATGAAAGTGCCGGTCTCAGACAGATCAAGGTTCTCGTGTGGAGCAGCTCAATCGCAGTTCTGCAGTGCAACATCCTACACACAATGCCATGGGGCCATGTCCTGATTTGGATCACAGCAGTATCCAAGCTCTGCCAACAGGCCCTCGAGCTGTTTGTGTGCAAAGAGTCCAGCTAAGTTGGCTCAGTTATTGGCATGCTCGCTGCATGAGCCTTAGAACTGATTGCTGTAGATTGCTGTTTGTTGTTCGCATGGGTTGTGATAATGTTGTGATGATTGGCATTGGCAATGTCACTTGGCTGCTAAGAACATGCTCCTCAACTCAGCCGATCCTGTGGAGGCAGCAAGCACGTGCGGCTTCCGTCGTGTGAACGTGTCGCGCAAAGGCTTCCGCATACTGCGCGACGAAAGGAGGCGGTGATCTGCACCCAGCGGGAATGCTAGTGCAAGAAGCGCCCTGCAAGTTCTCAGAGTAGGCAAATCCGAAGACCAGGTCGATGGATGTGTGTGAGCAGTTGGGTTTGCAATTGAAGCGGCTTGGGATTACCCTAGCAGCTTGGGGGGACAGGCCTCTACTTCTTCACTCCATTCCAGGTGTCACTTGGCAGCACATTCATCAGGGCACTAATTATGCCTGGAGTGGGTGTGTTCCCAACCACCAATACAGCATGTGGAGATTTTAGGCGCCCAAGAAGCTGAGTGATCTGAGAGGAAGGAAGACTTGTGTTCGGTGCTCAAGTTGTTGGTATTGCTGTTCGGCCCTTGTCGGGATGACAGGAGCAATGGGGCTCCTACATAATTACACCTGCATGATTGCACCTTGGTCTACACACTTTTATAAAGACCAGGAGTGAACCTTTCACTGTGTTCATGACCACGTCTGGCGGGAATGACAGCTGCTGACAGGTTGCAGATGCACTGGGGGATGCGGACCAGGACACGCTGTGGCCAGCAGACCTGTAGTATCAAGTAGTACTGTGAAGAAGCTTCCTGTTGGGGATCCACATCGCAACGTGTCGAAAACGAGGATGCGATGTTGGAGAAGTTCGGTCACCTGCAGATGCAGCTCGAGCCCGGCATTGATGAAAGTGCTACACGCTTCCGTCTCACCAAGGAGCCATGAATTCAGCTGCAGTCGCAGTACTGCGTTCTGCAAGCGATGTCAACTTGCATAGAACGAGTAGTCGGTTCATGCATCGACAGGAATGGCGAACGCTGAGCCGCTACATCCAGCAGCCGACAGGTGGCAAGATTCATGCAGGTGTGCGGTGGTGTCCAGATCTGTCCAGTTATCGCCCAGGTGGACAAGAGCTTGGCTTCGAGCATGGTTTCACGGGAAACTTGAGCCGAGCTGTTTGGAGCTCAAGGTTCAGCACGCTGCCTGAGATCCTGAAGCAGCACCTGGCATTCCCGATTCTTACCTTGGGTGCCAATGGGACAGGCTCTAGTATGCACCAGCACGAAGAGACATGGCTGCACAAAGAGCGTTGTCTCAAGAAGCATGAGCAAAGGAGCAATGTGTTCAGGAGAGAGCGCGTACCTTAGGAGACCTGGCTGCTCCTGACACAGGGCCGCAAGGCTTGGTGGATTAGCGAGCCTGTCCAAAATGGGACAGCTACTTTTGCGCGCCGGAGTCCGTGTCAGCACATCGGCTCCGTGCCCTCGGGGTACGAATTCTGCATTCAAAACCCCGGAGAAGTTGTGCACCTCGCTGAAGTTTCATCGGGTCCTTGAAAGCGTGAACCAGCACAATCATGTGGTACCGCAGATGTGTATGTCCAGGTACTTTCCGGACGATGCCTTCCACGCAACCTGCAATCTTGACAGCTTCGTGTGGGGTCTAGGTTCGCAGGGCAGCAATGCAAATTGGCCGCCTCTCGTCACTCTGCTGAATTTGCAGAGCGCTGGAGTATAGTTGTGC